TGAAGACACCGGGGTGAAATGAAGAAAGGTGAGCAGTGTGGTTTGCGTTGTTTTGTTTGTTTACTTGTTTGTTTGTTATGTTTGTGTGCTGTATGCGTTGATATTGGTGTAGCTTCGTTTTGCGAATTTTTCCGTTCCACCTTAAATGGTGCAGCGGTTACATGTGCAGCGTTTAAGGTGGAACGGGAAATTCGAATAAGGAGCTGGGAAGCCAACTTCTCTTAACTTAGTATTACCGTGTGTAGTAAACGCATCAAAACGTGAGGGGAATGAATGATTGTTGTTCTGTGTTTACAGATGTGAAGGTTCTGTTGTTCTGCGTGTTTTCTTCTTACTGCAGTGACAACCAGGTTGGCAAAGCAACCGTCAAACTGAACTGCCCAGCTTTGCTGTCATGTCAGTCTCTTCTTTTTAGCTGGTTTAGTGCGAAACTGAAGACGGTTTCTTATTAGAATGTAAATACTGCACCATTTAAGGTGGAACGGGAAAATTGGAGCAAGAAGCAGCTGGTATATTGGAAGCCAACTTCAGCCTGGTCGGTTTAGTCTCTTCTCAGCCTGGCTAGCAAGGAGACGTTGAGAGGAAACAGCCAACAGTCTTATTTACCACAGTTTATGGATTTGATTTTGAGCGGTTTAAGATTTAAACACTGGTTTAAATGGAAAAAACACGACGACCTGGAGCAGGTTAGCTGTGTAGCTAGCTGCTTTCTCGCTAACCAGCCTGTTGGGGTCAGGTCCTGGTTTTGGCTTTGGCTTTGGTTTTGGCTTTAGTTGATGAAATGCAGAGAGAATAAAGATCTGTGTTTTAAATAAGGACCACAGAATCAGCTGTAAGTGATGTTATAATTACAGGAACAGTCACTGGAAGCTCTTTAGCATACACTGCCCTGCACACCTAGAAAAAATGGTTCTTCAATGGTTCTTTAGCATTTAGAGCATTTATTTAGTTTAAATTGTTCTTTGAATGGTGAAATTGCTCTTCAGGTTGGTGGAGAATGTGTTGCGTACAGTTCTACACCAACCTGAAGAACAGTTTCACCATTCAAGGAACCATTTAAGCATGCAAATGGTTTTATGTGGAACTCATGGTTTTTCAATGGTTCTTTAGCACTTAGAACCATGGGTTCCACATAAAACCATTTGCATGCTTAAATGGTTCTTTGAATGGTGAAATTGTTCTTCAGGTTGGTGGAGAATGTGTACAGTAGTTCTACACAAAACCTTTTTGATAATAGCACCAATAAGGGTTCTTCTATTGTTACAAGCTTGACATGGTAACAATAGTAGAACCATTTTTTGTTGTTATATAGAACCATTTTCAAAAAGGTTTCATATGGAACCATATACAGCACATTCCTCATCCATCAGAAGAGCCATTTCACCATGCAGAGTACCAGTTCAGCATGTAATGTGTTGTATATGGTCCTAAATGGAACCTTTTTCCTGTGGATGGTTCTATACATCAACCTGAAGAACCCCTTCCTGTCGGAAAGAACCCTTTAATCATGCAGAGGGTTCTTTGAGTGTTCATGGTTCTGTATGGAACCACTTTCTTTACTGACGAGCCCTTAAAGCACCATCTTTTTTAAGAGAGATAGTATTCATGGTTTACCTTTACTGAAGAACCCTATCTGAGTGTGCATTAAAAAGTGCCTTGAAAAGCAAAAGGTGGAAGAGAACCACTGTCTGAAATGAACAGCTGTACCATATTGTCAGGGTTTTCTCGTTTACAAGCACAAAGCGTACAACATAAATAATTCTGATAGCTTTAAAATGTCTGTTTTACCCAATTAAATTAAATTATGTTCATTTTTGTACTCATTATGTGGTGTAAGGTGTCACATATATGCTCATTTAATTGGTATATAAACCCTTAGAGCAAGGCCATGTCCAAAACCGCATACCTACATACTAAATAGAGTGTCGGAACAGTGCACCACCATTAGTAGCGTGCTTATTAGTATAGTAAGTACATGGTTTGGGACGCAGCCGTGTCCTTTCCTATTATTTGGCTGATCTGGTGGCCAGATGGGGCCACATGCTAGTCAGTTCTTCCAATATATTTTGTGAGGCTATGAGCTGCTAATCAGACAAAAATCAAGGATATCAGACTGGAAAGGAAGTTTCAGTAAACTATTGGGACGCAGCCCCTGTTCTAGGCAAGGTTTAGTGTTATATGTTAGTGTAGGCATGAACTTCGACCTAGTCGTGCAAAGCAGCCTACCAGGCAGTCCCACGTTTGCAGGAGTGAAAGGATAAGAAGGGAGGGAGGGAGGGAGGGAGGGAGGGAGGAAGGGAGAGAGGGAGGGAGGGAGGGGTTAATGGAAGGCAGGAGAGCAGTATTTCCCTCCCCTTTCTGTCATCCTCCTCCTACTTTTCCTCCTCCCCTTCTCTCTCTCTCTCTCTCTCTCTCTCTCTCTCTCTCTCTCTCTCTCTCTCTCTCACTCTCTTGCTCTCCCTCTCTTTCGCTCTCTCTCTCTCTGGTTTCTCAGTCTCGTTGATCAGTGTGTGAGAGAGACGTGGAAAAAGTGTGCTGCGTTTTACTCAGGTACTACTCAACTATTTTGTTAACTATTTCCTTCCTTCACTAATCCGCCTGCTTGTGCTTCACTCTCTGCTGCTCTTCAAATGAGCAGCTCTTCGTTTTTAAAGCCGAAATGTAGTGAATCAGATTTTTCTCCACTTTAAAGCTGCTCTTGCCTGAACAGTAGTTTCCTGTTAACTTTACCTCAGTTGTTTTTTTGCTGTTATCTGCTTATCTACCACTTTTCTCTCTCTGTGTCGCTCTTTCCACCTCCTCTGCAGAGCTCTTGTCATGTCTACATGTGGTTTTGATGAAATCGCAGACCCTGTGAGCATTTTTTGGCACAAGTGGAGTGTGGGTATGCTCTTCGTCTAGTTTGGGGCAGAAGTTTTCAGAGAGGAGGGAAAAGTGTCTGTGGAAAAATAGAGCTGCTTTAGTGGCTGAAACTTGTCAGAGTTTTTACTGGATTTAACGTAAATGTGCTGCTGTTGCTTTGTGTTAGTATTTGGACAGAGGTAATTACCTCCGACCAAATAATGATCACCTAACTAATGCATTAAAGCTATGTCTCTGACAGTTTGGCGGTGCTTTAAACCGTTTTCAGCCTACGGTGGATGCAGCAAAGCCACCGCAGGCTTGTTGTTTAACAGGATCGGAGTGGAGATTAGTTGCTCAGCTGTATCCGAAAGATTATTAGTGTTATTATTGTCCCGGGGACTTAGTACAGACACCTTCTGCACGCCTTGCTGTCGGATAGGATTGGATTCGATGAGGTACCATGTTCTCTTACTTCTCTTTCAGTTCCCTATGTGGATTTTTTGCTGCACTCTCAGGGTCATTTAATGTCGATCTGAAATCAAAACTGACCTTTTGTATCTTGTTAGTTCATGTCTCTGGTCATATTAAGCGTTTATCATTTACAAGGCATTTTCTTCAAAAGTGATTTTTGTCTGCGTTTAAAACGTCCTCTGTTGTTTGATTACATCACTGTGCACCAGTGGGCGGGGAAAATAATACTCACCAACAATATTATCTTTCACCTCCACCTCCTATCCTCCTATACCCCGTCAGTCGTCAAGAGAAAATGCTAAGTGTATGTAACAGTACACACTTAAAAAAGATGGTTCTCCAAGGGTTCTTTAGTAAAGAAAATGATTCTTTATAGAACCATGAACACTCGAAGAATCCTTTGCATGATTAAAGGGTTCTTTGCATCATGAAAGCGTTCTTTAAATTGGTGGAGAGTGTGTTGAATATGGATTATATAGAACCTTAAAGTGTTTCTTCTGTTATTACAAACTTGACGTCGTAACAATGAAAGAACGCTTTTTGGTGCTATGTAGAACCCTTTTCAAAAAAGTTTTATATAGAACCGTATACAACAGTGTGTACAACAGCACACACTTAAAAATCATGGTTCCTTAAGGGTTCTTTAGTAAAGAAAATGGTTCTGAAAGAACGCTTTGCATGATTAAAGGGTTCTTTGCATTGTAAAAGGGTTCTTCAGATTCATGGAGAATGTGTTGACTAATTCTATATAGAACCTTAATGCTGTTCTATTATTAGAAGCTTGACATCATAACAATAAAAGAACTCTTTTTGGTGCTATGTAGAATGTTTTCAAAAAGGTTCTATATAGAACCATATATCACATTCTCCATCAATCGTGATGCAAAGAACCATTTAATCATGCAAAGTTTTTCATTGTTCATGGTTCTGTATAGAACCGTTGTCTTTACTAAGGAACTCTTGAAGAACCATAATTTTTAAGTGTGTATGGAAGCAAAATACCCCAGACTCTTTAATCTGCTCACCCTGCATTTTGACGGTTGTCCCATTTAAAACTGAATTTCTTTAAAATGAAATCCACTTTTTCAGTTGGACGTCTGATGTGGTTTGTAAGCACTTTTAAAGTTTCAGATATACCATTCACTACGCTGAAGATTTTGACATCAAAAAACAATAAACTAACAGTGTTAGGGTTTAATTCTAGCCCGAGATTAAGGTTTGGATTAGTGTGAGTAAGTTAAAGTGAATTTAATTAATATTTAGTTGAATGTCAGTTAAAGGCTGTGCAAGCGTCTACAAAGCATCTTAAGTTGGACCATCTTAATAAAGCGTTATCATTCATTTCTATTGCTATATGCAAGAAACCAGCCGAATTTTTTTGCTCCAAACACACAATCAGCTAATTTGTTGTTTTTATTTTGGTAGATCTGTGTTGCAGTTCATCGTGTGGCTCTTTACTTGAATAATTTGCCAGTTTGCTTCACAAAAGAGCGAATCATGTTGGTTATATGCAACTTTGGCTGATAGAAAGTGCTGGAAATGTGCTCGTACGGTTTATATGTCCATGTAGCCGACGAGGTTTGAGCCTCAGGTTTAAGATGAATGAATATTGACCTTTGACCAGATTGGCTGTAAATCAGAAACAGAATCGGCCATAACAATCCATAATCGGTGCGTCCCTCACTTCTGTATTCATAGGTCTGTTAGCATTATATTTGCGACAGTTGAGTCACAGTTTGGATACGAAATTTGCTCAGCCCTGTCTGGTGCAAACAGCTGTGAGGAGCTAAGCCTCGTCAGCACAGCGAGACGAGTGACGCTCCAGTGTGTATTGACTTTCCTGTGCAGACTCGTGTCTCATACTGGAGATGAATGGACTTTGTCATTTCAGAACACTTCTCTCAGGCTGACAGCTCAGCAGCCGTTGTTTCCGCGGTGGACGTGGAAGAAAGAAAACCAGTTCAGTGTTCAAGGAGGCCAGGTCTTGTGAAAGAAGATTGTTTCACTCTTTAAGCTCACATTGGACAGGTTTTACAGGTGTAACCGCTTTCATCTGGCTTTTGAGTCTCTATTCTCAGGTACCTAAAAGCCTTTGCTGCTTAAGTTCATGTTCTATTTACTGTGGGATTGTTATGCTCACAGTGATTTGTGTGATTTTCACAGCAGTGTTTATTCTTCCGTTAGACCAGCGGTTCTTACGTGAATATCGTCTGCATAATTTTCACAGTGCTGAAAGAGCAGCGCAGGTTTTGTCGTTGAAGAAAAAGTGCTTACTTTGAGAATATTTATGTGGTTATAAATCCACCGTACAATGGAAAGAGAAGGCAGTGCCATGTTTCTGTGGTGGCCTGACGGGTAAGGGGGGCTTCAGTAGCACATTAGTGTCAGCATAGCCATAGACCACTGGCTGGCACGACTTTTGCTTGAGTCTGCTTGAACAGCAAAGCATGGTTTGTATTAGGGACAGTTATACATAATGCTGTTATAATGAGTTGTCATGATTAGGGCTGAGTATCAATTTGCAATACTCTTATGGAATCGGCTGAATTACTTTTACTCTGCACAGAACATTGAAATCCATTGAACGTGATGTCAAATTTCATTACCTAAGCGGTCCATCTTATCAGCGACAAGCCTTATCAGCGAGCTGTTAAGTAAGCCTGTTCCCAAATCTAGAGTGACTGATAAGGATGTTATTAATTTTTACTGTACACTGTCAGGAAAAACAAGGTGCTCTACAAGCCTGTTTTTGTTCACCGAGGTACAAACATTGTAAATGTACACTCAAAGGTACAACAGTGGTATTGAGATCCAACTGTGTTCCTTAAGTGAGTTTTAGAGATACAATACATTTACACATACATTAACAGGCATGTTTGAACCTTTTATAACCGAACACTTTAAAGTAGAACAATAACTTAAAAAATCTGGACAAGCTCTATGGAGTCAGTGCAATTTAAAGATTGCAACAGAATGTGGTACTGAAGACGTACCCTTCGGGGAAACCCCCCCCCCCAACCAAAGTTACATGAGGGAAACCACAGTGGAAGTTTAGTACCTTTTTTCTGACAGTGTTGATGAGAGTTCCTGCTAGAAAACGTTGGTTTCAGTGACGATGTCTGGGAATGATTCCGTTTTTGCTAGAAAAAAATGGTAGAATTCTCGTCATACTCGTGTTAATGTTGTGCAGAACCTACATTGTGGTATCACATAACATGATGGGCCAATCCCAATGTTACCTATCGCAACAGCTCGAAATAAAATCTCTTAGCTAACGCCTGGGATGTTGAGAACTTGAGATCTTGAGAAGTTCTGTTCTAAAACCTTACTCCTCTTTCTCGTCCAGCACTTCTGTAGGCAGTTTCATTTAGAGTGTCGCGGCTCGAACGGAAAACCGGAGAACGTTTTATCTTTACTGGCTGTCAGATCAGCAAAACTTACTAAAAATTAGATTTTCTATGTGTAGGCCCGTCACAGTTATTACATAATCACCTGACCGCAGTTATTTGTGCAGATTGCAGTTGTTTCAGCTGACCAGTTATTTTTCACAGTTGTTATCTTTCACAATCACATGTTGAAAATGTGAGTGTGAGTTGTGTGAATGTGAATTGCAGATTTTTTTCATCTGTTGGATTTGAGCCAACACATGTAAATTAATTAAAGCAGGAAACTTATTTATTGAGAAACAAATAAATTCTAATTTCTGACTGGTGCTGTAGTACCTTTAGAGTAGCGTTCGTCTATAAGGGCTCAAGCTGTTAAACTGCTAAGAATCGAGAGCTAGAAAGCGGCGTTTGGCCACTTTAGGTTTTAATAATTTAATAGCTGCATACAATGAACAAAAATGTAAAGTGAATTTGTTTATCGCAATTATTTAAATGGCAATTAGTCTTTAGTTAAAATGTTGTAAGTGTAACAAGCTTAAATAGTTTATTATGCATTTCAAAGAAGGCATTGAAAGACATTTCTCTAAGAAATCAGTATCAAATGTATCAGTATTGATATTATATTGAATGATTGAATGATTTTGAACAACACCCAGCTCTAGTCACAGAGATTTGACTTCGATACTGAAGCGAAGTAGGGCTAGGCAATATGACAGTATTTATCGTTATTGTGATAAATGATGTCACAACATATTACGATAGGCTTTCCTGAGCATACTGTGGATATCGTCAGTACTTTAAAAGGACTTTTCAACTGCATGATTGAATACAAAACAGCATAATTAGCCCTGTTTAATTGGATTTAGTGCAGCAAAGTATGTGAAATGTTAAAGGCAAATAATTGAATTCATAGTTTTTGATAGTATTTTTTAAATATTGCACTACTGTTCCAAAAAAAAAAATCTTGTGGCATATTGTGTATTGTGAACACTTCTTGAAGTATAGGTATTACATTTTTGCCATATTGCCCATCTCTAATACGAAGTGTGCTACCACAGTACTCAATGCCTAAACAATACTATACCAAAAAACTCAACAGGTCATTGTGTGAGCACCTAATGTTAATTGGCTCGAACAAAACATATTAAAATTGTTAGAGCTTAATTAACATCTTTGATCCTGAAATCTCTTTTTTTCAGAAATACAAACCTCTTTGAATGTGGAATAAATCTAATAAGCTTTAAAATAATTTATACGTGGCCTGAGGGAGACTAATAGTGAGGCACAGCCTACCATTCATCACCATGTATTAAAGAAAATGGGCTGTACTGTTTGCTGATTGTTTCTAGGAGCGTAAGGTCACGTTACTGAATAAACCTCTGTACCTGTCTATTTTTAGATATGCTAATGAGTGCATCTCTGCCCATCTGAGTCAAATTAGCATGCAAAATCTGATTCTGCTACAGGCGGAATACAATGTCAGCATAGTGTGCGTTTATTTAAATAAAGCAGTGAAACTTGGAGGACTTCAGTATCTCAGGTTATATCCTGCAAATATTGTACGCTGAGCTTTAACCATCTTTTCTTGAAACGTCATACACAAGATTATTGTCCATATAAGGTCTGTATGGTCCAATTGCTTTGGCTTAGACTTTAATCTTTTCCCTGTGTCTCAGTGATATATGGATACGTAACAGCATTGTTTCTGGCGTTCAGATTTCGTGGTACTTCTTCCACTCCGGTGGCTCCCCAATAGTAGGTCTAATTTAAAATGAAAACATATGTACAGGGTGTCTCGAATACAAACCAGGCATAGGTTTGTCCTACTTAGATAAGTAGGCTATGGCCAAACTACCCTTCTAAAGACATGTATAATTGGGATGTCGTATTTCACTGACTTGCGCTGCTGTAGTTCTACAGCAGCTGTGCTGTTATTAAAGGTCTTTTGGTTTTAAAAAAAAAACAAATCAGCTTTGACTGTCAAAGTAATTACTGGATACACATTCAAAATAATAGCGCAAGGCAGCTTTATCAAACTGTCACTTTCAGTTCCTCTCGAGTGGCTTACTCTGATAAAAGCAAGCTTTGTATATTTTTGAGGAAAACTTCCTGAAGTGTCCTCAAACCCGGAGTCGTGTTCTCTTTACTGTAAGACTGTAAGCTTTATGATTTGTGTGCATTCTCTCCATTGAATGAAGGTCTTGTTTTATTTTACTCAAACGTTGCAGAATTGTTTGGCATGATTTTTGGTTCCTCTAGAGTGGCTTTCACTCATGTCTTTTGGGGAGGAAACATTCTGGGAGGTTTTAAAGGAATGACTCATTTGGGGAAAAAAGACAATACAGATTTTCCCCATTAGTCCAGATGTAGCGGATGTAGGCATGTAGCATGTTTGGTGCACAAAGTTTATTGGTCTGTATTAGTCTTGTTGGGATAAAATACCTTGGATGAATGAGGTTTAATGCACCGAATTGTACAGTATAGCATATCATATAGTATCATATTGTATCGTACTGTATTGTGACTAGCATTTTAGCTTGTGGCTAATGTGTCAGCTTGGAGCTTTTTGTTTCCCAAGACATGTATGCAGTGTTTGTGGTGGGCTGAGGGCCGAAGAGACAAAACTACAGTCACATCTTCTAAAGAAAACAAACTTAAGTTTGTAATTTTTCTGCGAATGTTAGTGCACAGTTTCAATTTTTTTGCTGTTTAATTTGTTGGAAAAAATAAAACATCAAATATAAAATTTGCTGTAACTTTTGCACAGGTCGCATTACACGCTCTGTTGTTTTTTCCAATATGTTGAGTTCAGCAAATAAACAGTAATTCTGTATTAAAATGTGCAGAAATGGAAAAAGGTACAAAACTGTCACTGAGGCAGTTCCCCTCTTGTCACTGGGGTGGGACCCTCAAGGGTACATCTCAGTACCTTTAGTCAGGGAACATAACTGAACCATAATCCACTGAAATTATATCCTCTAAATTGTATTGACTCGACACACCCCGTCTCGTCTCCAGGCTTTTATTTTATTGTTCTGTTTTGATTGTTATTGTTATGAAAATGTACAAATATGAAAATATAACTTTTCACCTGGAAAAACCTATTTAAGGTGCACAATTGGACCTTAAAACCACTATTGTACCTGTGAGGGAACATTTACATTGTTTGTACTTCGCTGAACAAAAAAATGTAGCTGCACAGAACCTTTTATCTCTAACAGTGTGTAAAGCACAGGGATTGTTTCAGATATTATATTTTTATAATGTTTAACACTGTAATGAACTAAAAATTAAAACACAAACATATTAACACAACTCTCAGGAACTCCTTTCTTTTTGCTGTCTCAAAACAAGACTGTCTCATTTATCGAATCGAGTCAAATTGTGCATTTTTTTTTAATCATTACACCCCTCACTGCTTTGTACATTTTACATGGAATCACATGAATCACCCTTATATGTGCATTCTTAAGAACTTGGGAATGGTAGTGGAGAGTAGAGAGAAAAGGCCTATAGATCCAGTAAAGGTTTATCACCATGTTCGGGAGCTTAAGCGTGATTCATCAGTTCTGGGTTGCTCAGCAGTTTTCAGTTGTACGACTGCAGGCTTAAGGCGAGTGAATTCCACTATGTTGGATAACTCCACTACAACTGCATTAACCTTCTGATTGTCTCAATAAAATGGAGGCGTTTTGCTTGGTTGCTTTACAGTGACAACACGTCCTCGGCCTCAGGGGAAGATTCACTTTTACCCCTGTGTCTTCCTGTTCTTCACACCTGAAAACGTTACAGTTTGGCCTTCAGTAGTGAACACTACCTTTAGATTTAACTTTATTTTCTGTGGAGTGTTTCTAAATAACCCATTTCTCACTGTAGAGCAATATGTACCCTTTTGTTTGTCTGCACTATTTCAGCCCAAGAACTCTCTTTTGACTCTTGAAAAGGAAGCATCAGGTGAATCTACAGGGAGACTGGGAATGTCCATAGGGAATGTCTGTCTACTCTTAGTCTTTTAGGGTTGAAATTGCATGGCCTAATTGCAAAGGATTTTATGCTATCTGCCATGGGGTGGTGGAGGATCTCATTTTCAATCATGATTAGACCAGAGCTGTCAATATCAGTTGTATTGATAAGTGAGAAAGCTATCAATTGTTTTGACAATTAATCTAGTAATCTGAGTTTTCAGAATTAGGTTTCATAGTGTAGAAGGTAACATCTCTGCCCTGGGGTTCAGTCCCCTGCCCTGGGGTTCAGTCCCCTGCCCCGGGGTTCAGTCCCCTGCCCCGGGGTTCACTACCCTGCCTCGGGGTTCAGTCCCCTGCCCCGGGGTTCACTACCCTGCCTCGGGGTTCAGTCCCCTGCCCCGGGGTTCACTACCCTGCCTCGGGGTTCAGTCCCCTGCCTGGGCAAGCGCCCTATGCTGTAACAATAGGAGTCTTTGGGCAAAACTCCTAAATGTACCTTGATCTCTGTAAAATGATCAATTTGTAAGCTGTTCTGGACAAATGCCATCAATGTACTTGTATAAAAAGTACAAGGCCTGGCCTGAATGATTTATATACTCATTACGTTGGTATTTATTGTCTGTTTAGTATATTAGATATATTTTGAACTGCACTGACATGACATTTTTAAAATTATGGTTAGTTATAAAATGTTAATTTTACTGTTTTAAAGGACAATTTTGAGAGCAAGTATTCAGATACCTGTTTGGGAAATACTAATGAATATTTGAAGCCTGTAAAATGCTCTTTGGGCCAGCATATAAGAACACTATGTGGCAAAGATCGCATATAAATGATTGCGTCCATCAGGCTCAGTTTCTTACTGTAAGAGAGTAGACCTGGCACAATCATGACATTGTATAATGATTAACTGGCATATAAATGATTGTAAGATAACAATATAGTCAGCTTTTTTAGTGCAAGCCTAAAATAGCTGAATTAGCTGATTAATGTTGCTCACTGCCACCCTGTAAACGTGTTATTGCACCAATCAGAAGTTAGAGCTTTTGCTGCTTCTGTAAGACCAGTTTTCTGCTCACTTTCAGTAATATGCATTTGTCTCAAACCAACGGATGAAAATGCACCCAGTTCATGTTCTGTTTGTGACATAAACACGATTTTGAAAACTAGGAACTGTGAAAAAGTAAGTGTAATCATTGATTATGATTATGTAATGATTGTTACAGGCCTAAAAGCAGCACAAGAATTTTAAATGTACATTATTATCATACAAATTGCCAACTAATCATTGCCAATACATTTAAGGGGGTAAATTTAATAGTTCATTTTTTTTTAAGTTGAGTTTAATTGAGTAATCAAGACAGCACTGGAGTGGAAATGTGTCTTTATTTGGCCTGTTTTTTAATTGTCGTCTCCTTATCTTGCTGTAGCCTTTTCCTCGCTTCGGTCCCTCCTGTGGTGTCACTGGGCCATGGTTCGCAAGAAAGGGACCCTTATCTTATGTGGAGCATTTCTATTCGTTGCCTGGAATGCCCTGCTTCTTCTCTTTCTGTGGGGAAGGCCCCCCATCGGTCGACTTGGAGAGGGAGGTGGAGCTGAACCGGGCGCAGGAGAGGAATGGGCAGCTGGTAAAGGGAAAAGGGGCGGGGCTAGCGGATTGGCCGGAGAAGTGATCCGATTGGCCGAAGAGGTGGAAACAGAATTGGAGACTCAGAAAAAGCTCCTGAAACAGATACAGGGTCACAGGTCGCTATGGGAACTGCGTAAAGATGTGGGGAAAACGGAGACGGAAGACGCAAAGGACAAGAAGGACGAGCCTAAAGAACCTCAGCAGGTGCCCCAGTTACCCGTCTTGGATGAAAACAAAGCTCTTCCGAAAAAAGTACACGCTCCTGTCGTCACATCCCCTCTACCAGACACAAAGCAGGACAAGATATTAGACGATGAGAAACAATCTTCTGAAAATAAAGTGGGCCTCACTGACTCTAGTCCTCAAACTGTCATCCCGATCTTGGTCATAGCTTGTGACAGAGTCACAGTGAAAAGGAGTTTGGATAAACTGATACAGTACCGGCCTTCAGTGGAGCTCCATCCCATCATCGTCAGCCAGGACTGTGGTCACGCGGACACCGCGCGGGTCATTGGCTCCTATGGCAGTCAGGTGACCCACATTAGCCAACCGGATCTCTCAGACATTCCAGTGAGGCCAGATCACAGGAAGTTCCAGGGCTACTACAAGATCGCTAGACACTACAAATGGGCCCTGAACCAGGTGTTCAACACCTTCAGTTACTCCACTGTGGTCATTGTAGAGGATGACCTGGAGGTAAGAATGCAGAACTAATCAGTATACAGTAAATTTCTGACCTTATGATTCTGTTTGAAACCGATTCAGTACATCATGAAATCTTTCACAATTCAGTTTGAATATTTTGGTAGAGTTCAGAATTATTCTCTTAAAAAAATACACTGAATGAAGAAATGTGACTAGAGGGACTCTTACCCAGTAAATAGCCTTAGGACAATAATTGATACAGTGGAATATAGCGATAATTTGTACAAGCTGCAATACTTTAATACTTTGGTCAATACTTTAACAATTTTTGAAGTTTTATTTCCCATATATGTGGCTAAAAGAAGGCAAAATCACATCGAATCACTGGTAGTAAATAAAATGGCTTTTCCTAAGTGGGATTTGTAATAGGCTTAAATCAAGCCACTGGATTTACTACAAGAGATTTGATTTTAAACCTAAATACATGGAAATATGTTATGCAGTGTTTTGACACTCTTCTAATGACTAAAGCTTCAATAAGCTGTGTTTCCAAAAGTTAACGACAGACATTTTTTAATATATTTGGTGGGTTTTTTTTTAATCTTCATCATTTTTTGGAAGTTTATTTCATAAGAAATCAAATATCCAGCGAATGTTCAATATAAAACCAACTTTATCGCACTATAGGCAACACAAACGGATGATACTCTTTCAGTGGAAGGAATTACTGACATTTAATACAGTATTCGGGGCTTCTTTGCTTCACATTTTTCTTTATTTTGCAGAACACTGGAGGTTGTGTGTTATTATGAATAACATGGTTGCAATGATCTGTGGTGCTGTTGGTAATTGTATAGCCAACAGGGACAATGCAAGCTGTAGGCTAAATTCTGCTCACGTGAGGCACTTCGTGACTCATTTTGGATCACGATGATATTGTTTATCGCTATAACTCTGAAGATGATAATCATTTGTTTATATTTATATATTTACCCAAGCTTAAGTGACATACAGACAGTAAAAACAGCACACCAATGTCCTGTTCTGTATTTTAACTTTTATTTTGGGCCAAAAATGAACACACTGAATAGTGTTAAAATCAGGTGCATCACAGTACGTCAATTAGAGAAGTCATCAGTTCAGTCGGGCTGATATGATCAGATAAAGCTGGATCGGATGTCCGAGTATTTTGTTTGAGTAGTTTGTGCATGACAGATTACTTTTAGATGCTCATCGTAAGTGAAGTACTTCAATTAAAAAGTTTCATTTTAAAGCTTAGTATTGGCCGACACTAAAGACTTAGATATCAGTATTGGTATCATGCCACCTGTAGCTTCAACTCATATTTACACCCCAAAATCTACAGCGATGTTTCTTGGCTATTTCTTGAATGTTCTCACTGATTATTTATACATTAGAAAAGTTTATGTAAAGTATGGGGGAAATTTGAATTTCTGGTTTCGAAATAATTATGCAGTTGCCATCTGTAGCAAAACATGCTATTGAGGAAATGAAAACCTTTTTCAGCCTAATGAATAAAAATTTGGTTTTATTTATCATTTCAATATAGGCTTTAAAGGGTTAATAACATAGAAAACTTGAACTTTGATGAGTTTTTGATGAGAAGTTGGAGTAGTGTATAAAAACTGTTAAAGTGTTACTCCCCAGACCCTCTATAGAAACTGAACAGCCTGTTTTAAATGTACTGTTTCTGTGAGGTCACAAAAACCAACACATGTCCATACATCTATTCAGCCTACAGCTGTTTAGCCCTGTACATTCATGCTGAAGTTATAAGGAGTGTTTCAGCCAATGACAGCTGGGATAGGCTCCAGCACCCCACCGCGACCCAGAAGGATAAGCGGTTTAGATGATGTATGTTTCAGCCTGGACTGCTTTTTGAATGAGGCACAAGATAGAGCAGCCAATCAGAACAGATGTCATTTACATATGTCAGTCTTAAAGGCTCAGTAACAAAAACAGCCTGTTTAATTGAAAAGGACAAAGAGAGGTTGGAAAATGGTCTTATAGAAATGAATTATGATTCATTCTGGTACATGATGGTTTTTCAAGGGTTCTTTAGTAAAGAAAATGGTATTATATAGAACCGTGAACACTCAAAGAACCCTTTGGATGATTAAAGTGTTCTTTGCATCATGAAAGGATTCTTCAGACTGATGGAGAATGTGTTGAATGCATGCTTGTAACAACAGAAGAACCCTTTTTGGTGCTATACAGAACCCATTTCAAAAAACGTTCTATTTAAAACCATCTATACCACATTCTCCATCAATCTGAAGAACGCTTTCATGATGCAGAGAACCCTTTAATCATGTAAAGGGTTCCTTGAGTGTTCATGGTTCTATATAGTACCATTTTCTTTACTAAAGAACCCTTGAAGAACCAGCATTTCTTAGTGTTTACATAACCACACAAAACATAAGAGGACTTCGGGAGAAACAATGCACTATAAAAAATGTTGCATATGGGCCCTTTAACTCGTCGTGGCCTGTATAATTGACTTCACTGGCGTGTCTTTCTTGGGTTGAAAGCCATACTGGGTTTCAGGTATCACTATAAACTGTGTCAGTTTGACGCTGATAACTTTGACCCAGTATGTATAGAAACCTACTGTTGATCTCAGTGCGTCTCTATGCTGTGTGCAACGCAGGAACATCAGGAAAAACTGGATTGCCAACTTAAAATCGGTCGTGTTTAAATGATCTCATCTCCATCAAATGACCTTTTGTCAAGGAAAGAACAGTGAGAGTGCTATCTAGCACAGAGGATGAGTTTTCAATCCTTCTTTGTAATCCCGCTGACAGCTGTAATCCCAGTTTGTTCCCCCAGATTAGCACGTTTAACTGATCAGTGGATTAACCAACTTGGCACTGTTGAAGCTAAAATGGTTGTGCATCACTAGAGATCCCAAAGGGACACGTCGCTTCTCTTATAAACTCAAATATAAAAGAGCCAGCTGGATCAACAAATGCTCAGTCAACATTTATAATTACTGTGACAAATGTCACAGTCAACTTGAGGGACCTTTGTGTTCAAATGCTGTTGACTGTGGAAGTCAGAAGTGTCTGGTTATTTTCCTACTCAAACATAAACTGAACCTGATAACTAACTGCTGATGTGCATCAGGTATTTTTGAACAGGCAAGTCACCAACTGGCAACACTATGCTGGAATAAAGCCCTCTAGGACCAGAGCTGGTTTAAAGGGCCCACATCCTTCATTTTTATGCTTGTGATTTTATGCTTTAATACACCAAGAACAGACATAATTCACTTTACATGACAATTTTCCAACCTCTCTTGAGTCCTTAAAATCAAGCAGGCTGTTTTTGTTACTGTGCCTTTAAGACTGGTATATGTAAACGATTGGCTGGCATTATTCAAAACATCAACCTGGGCTGAAACACTCCTTATAACTTCAGCGTGAATAAGTGGAGCTAAAATGCTGTATGCTGAATAAGCATATATATGTAAATGTATTGGTTTTTGTGACATCACAAACATCACATTGAATCAAAACAGGCTGGTTTCACAGTTTAGTTTCCCTATATGGACTGCATGGACTGAGGAGTAAACCATAACTTTTGAAACCTTAACTGTGTTTGCTAGGGGTGCACTGAAATTTTGGCCACCGAAAAGTTTCAGCAGAAAATGGTAGAAAGTGTCATTTTTGTTTTTTTGGATGAAAAATAAATTTTTACCTCATTTTGAAAGTTCTTGGTTCTATTTCCTAACATGGCAGTCATCGCCTTTGAAGCATCGTCAGCATTATTATATTTAGAATATTAAATTATATTTAAAATTTACATTATTATATTTAAAATAAACTGCAAAATGTATGTAAAAGAACCATTTCTTTCGGTTTTGGCTGAGTGTGCCTTGAATTTCCATCAAGAATTTTTGTTTTGGGGCATCACTAATGTTTACATACCACATGAAAGTCTTTTATTTGAATAAAAATGATTTTTCATGATGTAGGCTCTTTTTAAGTTTTTAATACTGACAGTTATTTCATTTTTTTCCAACTTGTTTCTTGTTCCCTTCTCTTCTAAAAACTCCTCTTGTGTCCCTCTAGGTGGCACCAGACTTTTTCGAGTATTTCCGTGCTCTGTACCCGATCCTCCGCTCCGACCCCACTCTGTGGTGCATTTCGGCCTGGAACGATAACGGACGGGACGGCCTGGTGGACCCGGGCAAGGCTGACCTTCTCTACCGGACAGACTTCTTTCCTGGCCTGGGCTGGATGCTGCTGAAGGAGGTGTGGGCAGAGCTGGAGCCCAAATGGCCCAAAGCCTTTTGGGATGACTGGATGCGTCACCCGGAGCAGAGGAAAGACCGTTCTTGCATTCGGCCAGAAATCTCCAGGACTATGACATTTGGCCGGAAAGGAGTCAGTTTGGGTCAATTTTTTGACCAGTATCTGCGCTACATTAAACTCAACACTGAATTTGTGCCTTTCACTAAACAGGATTTGTCTTATTTGGTCAGGGGGCGCTACGACGAAACCTTCGTTAAGGAGGTGTACAGCGCCCCCTTGGTGAAGGTGGAGGATCTACAGCAAGGTGGCAGTTTGAAGGGCGCTGGCCCGTTCAGGGTGCAGTATTCTAGCAGAGACAGCTTCAAAGTACTGGCCCGCAATTTGGGGGTGATGGACGACTTAAAGTCAGGGGTTCCCCGCGCTGGCTACAGAGGAGTGGTCAGCTTTCTCTCGCGTGGGCGAAGAATTTATCTGGCACCCCCCGAGGGCTGGACAAAATATGACACCAGCTGGAGCTGAAAGGGTGGATTTTTAGGCACGGACCACAGAATGACAAGACTCAGAATTATGACAACCATGCAGGAAGAGAGGGACGCCCTCTCAAACCAAAGAAAACAGGCAGGGTGCGAAAGATAAATAAGCTGAAGGCTAATGCATGGTTAGAAGACATGGGATGAAGGTCAAAGTACAGTGATTTTATTGAGGAAGGCGACTTTATTCTCTGAGGGTAATGGAGGATGGAACACCCTGTCACACTGGGAACAACACAAAAGTTGGTATCTTGTGCCGCCGTACTCAGAGAAGACCATAGCAAAGTCCTGCTGTTTCTAATGGTGGAGATGCTGTTCTTCTCAGGATAAACACGTAGTTGTTGCTAAATTTGAAGCGATAGTTCAGTGACAGTGCTAATTTACAGAGTTTCCCCCTTATGTATAAGAGGCCATTCAAGACTTGTCTGATGTCTGAAGTTTGCTTCTTTAGTTTTGCACTGGAGCTACAAGCTAATATAGCTGACAAGTAATGGAAGCTTATACACCACCAATTAGCATTCTGCTAACTACAGTTGCCTGAGACCACACTGAGTTGTTTAGTAATCTCAAATAGACGTTGCTGATGTGGTTTCTGATACTGTATGGCATACTGATATCCATACAAATGGACAAAAGTATGACCAATAGGGCAGCTTTGACAAATGTTTTTAGCTCTGTGATGTGTTTTTAATAGAGAAGTGTGTCATATAGTGGCAGAAACCACTTACGCAAGTCTATTTGAGATTACGTTATGGCTGGACCGACTATTTGGATATTCATTTGTTGGTAGGTGTTCAGTTTTTAATTTTGGGATTTGGATATTCGGGGTTGTTTTTCGGCTAAATGTAGGGTATCAATAAAGGCAAACTGCTAAATACAGTGACGTTCGGGAGAAACCTGAGACGACTCGAGGTCACGGTCCATCCCAGCAAACACAGTTATGTTGTGACAACCTATTGATTTGGTGCTCGCAACGTTGAAATGCAATTCCTCAGAAAGTCGTGACAACGTTATGTGACAGCATTGTGACAACGTAGTGACAACATGGACAACAAGATGTTGTCACAACCTCCTAGAATCCCTCATTAGATTCGTTATGGTGTGAATGGGACTCATTCACACCATCATAATACCGTATGGCAATGTTACTGAATGATGAGCACCACCTCTTGACAACGTTGTGACAGTATTGTGTGTTTGCTGGGATAGCACAGCATTTTTAATTTGCTGAAAACAGCGGCAAACGCAGCAAGAAGAAACAGCCTCTTCAGCGCTAACAGCTAAAAACAAAGCCCTCTGTTCTGCTCCACAAAACCCACCATTCTACCCGCATTCAGGCTCTTCATCATAAAAGTCCTTGTACGAATTAACCTAAAGCAGCCCAGCATAAACAATTTCTCTCTTTAAAAATGTAACTATTTACAACACACAAAGGTGACGACACAATACATATTTATACCTTTTAATTGCACTGTTAAAATGTGGAAATATATACAGTTTCAGCTGGGGGTGCTTGGCATCACTCACCGCAGTGAACATCACACTAATGCGGAGCTAGACAGTGGGTGTGTCTCAAAACCTAGTGAGCTCTCTAAGTAGCCGCTGTCTACATAGGCATCTGTCTATATAGGCAGCGTTCCAACCGTCATCTGTCCTTATAAGACAGATAAATGAGACGCTCTAGTTAGACAGCAGTGACGTCGCCGCTTGTTCCCGCCCACTGCACGAGACCGGCGGTTACTGACCTCAGCAGTCAGAATCATATTTAGCCAACATGGATGGCGGTTTATACAGCGATTTTAATTGTATTTACTCTGAATGAAACAGCAAAATAGACAATAGTTGTGGTCAAACGCGGAAAGTATAGGCTATTTGTGCTCCTTTATGACTAGAAAACAGATAAATACCCCAGGAAATCAGAATAAGTTATATTTGAAGATGACATCGCTGCTTGGTGAAGCGCTTCTGCCCACCCACACCCAGCATGTATTCCCAGGGCGGCTGCAAAAAGTGCCCTGCTTTTGTGGACCCTTACTAGGGCCGTGATGTATGCCCTTCATACCTCGAGTAAGACCTCTGTGAAGGCAGATTATTCGATCGACTTTCTCTGCCCCACTGAAACCGCCAAAATGCATGAAAAACCACTAAAAAGTACAGAAACACTCTGGGGTCATTTAACCATAATACAAAATAATACAGCATTCAAACATGTCAGAAAATAAGCTTCTGGGTACACCAACCGCTGCTGTCTTGTCTTCGAAAATTAGCAGATTGAAGGTTATTGAAGTTGTCGCTAGTTGTTGTTGTCGGCCTTTTAAACAAGTATGTTTGTCACTGATATGAAAACCCGAAAGGTTTTCACGTTTTACTTTGTTTTAGAATCTTTTTCACAAATAACAAAGGAACTATAAATAATTTCCACAAAGTAATTATTTGATTTGTGTTTTATCTTATTTTCTTACCTTAAAGAGCTCACACAAACTTAGCAACATTTTTAATGCATTGTGTATGAGAGGAACTATGATCTCATGCAGTCAGAAAGGCAAATGAACAGCAGTTTTATTGCAGGCATAACTATTCCTCATACATCTTTATAGGCTCTGCAGATCACTGGCTGCTCCACTTTCCAACAGTAGCAGAACTGTGTGCAGCCAGTAAAGCCATGTAAACTGGACAAACCGTGCTCCTCCTCTCAACAGGAGTGAGTAAAATTTATGTCAAAGTTCTGATAACTGACTGGACCGGTGGAGGCGTTAGGCCTATTCAGGTTTAAACTGTATTATTAAGTAATGCAGTTTATTAATTCAATGTTCTTTTTAAAAACCTGGCAAAATAATGACAACCCACCCAAATTTTGTCTAACCGCAAAAAGACTTTTCAAAAAGAATTTTGACTGAAAAATTCTGCCAAAATCTGCCCAGTTTGGTGGGAACCCTGCATGTCTGAGCTGATCAGCTACATTTAGGCTAAGAGGGGGGAAACTAGATTGGTGTTTTGCTGAACTATCCCCTGACGAAATGTCAACTTCTGTTATTCCCAGTGTCAAACTCAGTGCATTGAAGGGTGAGCTTGGCCTTGTCATTACTTAGATTGGACGTTCTCTGAGTGGCTGAGGTTATTTTTTTCTGTGAGTTACTGACATTATTCTGAATGAAGTTACTCACATTACAGATGAATTACTACAATGGTCATAATTGTTGTCCAGTTTAATTGATGCATTCAAACAAAAGAGTTTTGAAGTAGCACTATTTTGATGAAGTGATGAAGTTAAGTTTTGTGCCAGGAATGATTAGCCTACAAGATTCATGCATATGAAGCACCAAAACTCATGATAGACAGATTCTGTGATTTTCTTCTTGTTTTTATTATTATAATTTTTTTTGGAAGTAATGTACTTGAACCCTTCTTCATTCTCCTTAATTCGGGAGAGATTTCATTACATTTCAAAGATGTCCCAAATGTTAGGTTTGTTGCAAAACCAATGATCGTAGATTTTGCTTTGTATGTTCTTTTGAATGCATTCGTTTAAGCAGGTGGGATGAGAGGAAAAATTCTAATATAATTTAAATGTACTGTATTGGGATGTTTGTGAGAGCGTTTGATATGTTCAAATGTCTGTATGAAGTATAAAACCACTGCCTGATGTGTTGTTTCTAAATTTAATACATTGAGAATAAATGACTATTTTGATATGTCAGTATAAGAGAAAGCTCATTTGTTCGTGTGTTTAACTGTGATGCAGTGTAAACTGAACCTTTTGAATGTTTGAGTGGATTTTACTGTGAGGTCTGTGAGCTTTTCATGAGTCCAAACTAATTCTGCAGTGTAAACCCTGCAGTCCAGCGGGGGGCTGCCATTGGTCCCATTTGTCCGAGGCTTTTCTCGGCGGTCCCGTTCCGCCATTAGACTGCATGCACTGTTGCAACTCAGGAATTTTACTTTACAGCAGCTGCATTTTCCCACCTTTTAAAAGGTCATCCATGAGAACGGTTTAAACAGCTCAGCAAATTGGCTTACAGGTGAAATTTAGGGCTGTCCGTATCTATTTCTTTAGCAACCGAGTAGTCTGTAATTTAATTTGATGAACAAATGAGAAATTAGATTGAAGAAATGGCCCAAACAACAAGGGACTTAAAGGAACTACAGCAAAGCCTGCATCGCCTTTCAAAGGTTTGCAAATACATTTTTCACTTGTCTTCTTAATAAGTACATCACGATTTAGATCACAATTACATCAGAGCCAATCAGCATGCTTTAATTTCTCATTCAAAAAAAATAAATAAATTAAAAGCCTCTGTATGTTTTTTAGGTTTTCTTAAATACATGGAGTTTCTTTCAGCTTCAGTCTCTCTCTAAATGCAGCTTTTATCAATTCAGTAAACCAGATATTTAAATCTATCAAAATATATCTCCAAAATGGTGACTTTACAGGAGAAGGAAAAAAACTACTTTACTTTTAATGTAAGTCAATGGAACCAGACTTTTTACCAAGTCATTTTGGGCCATTTGTTTTGGTCCATTCACCATGAAATTTATGCACCATGTGAAGACCAACAGACATTTTCAGATCATCTCAAAAACTGAAAAACGAAAATGGAGATCCAAGGTTTTGTTCCAACGGCAGCGATATGTAAATACACTGCTTTTTGTGGCTTCATACCATCAGTATGTTCAAAAAGAGTTCAAAAAGGGCTGTTTTTGCAGCGTAGTTTGGTTTTCATGATGGGGACCCTTTAAAAAAAATCATATAAAGTTCCTTCCTCTGAAACAGAACAGTGAGAATTTAAAATCGACATTGCTCTAATCACTGCCATTAATCGATAATGTACATTTTTATCCATGGTTTCTTGTAATCACAATCATGAGGGCCTTAGGAGTGTTAGTGTCAAAATTCAGCTTCAAGATATCAGTTTTAACAGTTCAGATGACAAGTCTAGTATACTGATCTGGTCGACTGAATCAGAAACCGTAATGGGCCGTAAAATGCCCTAAAAATACTTACATAGGCATTTCTTTGCTTGTATCACTGGCCCCTGCCCCCTCACCCTGAGCACACGCAGACCCGCCCACCATTCAGCACCATTTGTTCTCCCACAGATTTCCTTTCACACTCTTTTCTCATCCTGTTGACTTCCTATAATAAAGTCTTGCTGCTGACACCACTGTGCTGACTTCCTCTCCTCCAGACCATCAGCATCGTAAAGAGCACACAGCCCTGCGAGGTCAATCCAGATGAACTTTTATTCAGCAGAATTTTTGGGCTGTTTCTTTGGTTCATTCATCATGAAATTTACTTCTGACAGCAGCGATATATATATATACATATATGTGTGTGTGTGTGTATATACACATACATTTTATATATTTTTTATATATATATATATATATATATATACATACATATATACATATATATACACACACGTATATATATACATACATACACACACACACATTTCATGTGAGGGAACTTTCAGAGCCATTAAACACTTAAGACGTTTGGTTCCTATCACCACCACTGTGAACAGTTCTGACTTTTGACTACAACAATGCATTTTATATTAAATCATCCATCCATCCATCATCTAAGCCGCTTATCCTTCTGGGTCGCGGTGGGGAGCTGGAGCCTATCCCAGCTGTCATCGGGCGGAAGGCAGGATACACCCTGGACAGGTCGCCAGTCCATCGCGGTTTTATATTAAACCACTCAGAATAACTTTGTTCACATCTTAACAACTGAATTATGCAGAAATTTTAAACATATATTGGAATTCCCCTTTAAATTTACAAGGAATTATGTGGATTGCAATTCCTTCAGTCAGTTTTCTGGACTCTACACTGTCGATGGGAACTCATTTCGTTTGTGGAAAACTAGGCCTGGAAAAGATTAAATCAACTGAAGCAAAAAAAATTACCCATCTAATTAGTCAAACGCTATAATTAACTTTACTCAACCTGATGTCCAGATTAGCACTGAAAACGTCCTCTAAATGTACTTCACTTTGTCTCTGTACGGATTAGTGGGGAGTTAGAAGTCTCACTCTTGTGACGGCAGGTAAAAAAGTGTTTTACAGCACAGACAAAAGAGCTACAGATGCAGAGGAAACAGCCTGAGATAAAAGAGCAATTTCAGTTTTGTATTTATTTATGAAATTCAGTGAGTGCTTACGCACACAGGAGTTTGAATACTGGAAAACAGCTTGAAAACAACAGGTGCATTATGTGGGCATAAATGAGTGCTTGATCAGAAAGTGCTGTAAACACAAAAAGTCTTGCGCGTTAGTGTTTTCGCAATAAATGTGTTGCTCTCAATCGTACTTGTACGAATCAGTCATCGGGCTGGACAAAAAACATTAAACGAAAACGAGCTACAAACAATTTAAAAGGGATTTCCATCTAAATTTCTGCATAATTTAAAGTCATTCAGAGTGGTTTGATGCAAAATGCTCTGTTCTGGAGAAACTGGAATCAGGATTGTTCACAGTGGTGGTGATAGGAACCAGACGTCCGAAGAGTTTAATGCCCCTAAAAGCTCCCTTACAGAAACTTAATACATGAAATTGTTAAAAAATAAGCTGCCTGACGTCCGAGACCCTGTTTTATGATAGTTTCATGGAAGTTTTGGCGTAAAAACTATTTTTTTTTTAGAATTCATTACATGCAAGGCTTTGTAATGCAAAATAGTCCCCAGAGATAACACAGTTTTTTAAGATTTACCATCAACACTAAAACTCAGAAGACAGGTGTAGGTTCACTGGTGGTTTAGGATAGTAAATAAAATGGCTATCTGTGTTGTAGACATTGCGACCCCTGGTTCCTATCGCCACCACTGTGAAGACATCTAAGCCAGTAAGTTTCTCTACAATGAACCATTTCACATCAAACCACTCTGAACGACTGTGTTTACACAGTGATCACTGAATTATACAGAAATGTTTTTGAAAAAAAAAAAAATCACTGGAATCCTCTTTTGATATGTTGTATGAAATATGAAAAAAGGAAAGCCGCACATAATGCACCTCTAACAGAGAGTATGTCAGTACCACTGTAAATTCAACACAGTAACACATAGATTTAAGGAGTTATAGAACAAACATAGCTGTGAATAATCAAATAACATTGCCAACAAATACAGAACACTGATTACTGTAGTTTTTCCTACTGCGCACATAACACTCCTTCATAATTCCCTATCGGACATGCCTTCATCAAGAGCTACTGGAACACTGTAGTATTCAGCTATTGTACATCTATGCACTGCTTCATATATCGATCTAAATAAAGTATCTCAACCCAACACTGCACCAAAAAACGGAAACAATGCCACTCCACTTGCATAAAAAAAAAGTCAGTAACAGCCAACAAAAAACAGGAAATGAAACACTTTTGAAAAAGTAAATAAAATCTTTTACAAACACAGAATTTTAACATCCCAAGATGAACAAAGCTTGTTTTACAAAGGTAACAACATAGCATCAAACCTCAGAAGCAGTTAAGCACCTCTGTAAGTGTAGGATAACTATAGCTTTTCGTCAATTATACATTCCCTCTAAACTTCACCATAACAGTCGATGTGAAACGTGAAGCTACTGAAAGCCGCTCTCCGCACAGCTCGGCTCTTCTTCACCAGAGCTTATCTTCCTTACCGCGTCTGCTCAACTGGGACAGACAGAGAAAGAAATGAGGTCTGGGTAAATTAAATGATTTTATCACTGCACACATTTAATAACACACAGGTTTACAGATATACAACTACAACCAACTGAAGATATATTATAACATAAAGCACTGAGGGATACAAAGGAACACGCATACATGCACCTTTAATGGACAGCATGTCAGTATTACTGTTTAATACAGTTTCACATACAGAAGTAGCTGTGAATCATTGAACATGATGTATACGCTGGTTACTGTGTGCACAACTGTGAATTTTAAGTCATAGAAAATTAAAGTAAAAAAGTAATTTTTGTATACATCCAATGTATGCTATATACATATGCTATTATCATTGTACACACACCCACACCAATAATTATCCATGTACAGTCATATGCAAAAGTTTAGGTCGAATCAAACATATATATATATATATATATATATATATATATATATGTTATAAAACTATATATATACTATAAAAACTATATATACTATAAAACTATATACACATACATATATATATGTGTATATAGATATGTGTGTGTGTGTGTGTGTGTGTGTGTGTGTGTGTGTGCAATAACACACAATTTTATGTTTTATTTTTTAATATTAAATTCTGCAAATAAACAATAATTGTGCTTTAAATGTGCAGAATTGTGTTCTCTGTACAGGATGTGTTATTTTCACCAACAAAACACGTCATTTCACCAGGAGCACCTAAACTTTTGGATAAGACTGAACAGCCAATTGACATGTTTTGTTGATTTTCTAATTGCAAATAAGTAAAATTACACATTTCTGCAGACTGTAATACTTAGTTACTATTTATTTGCTGAATTTACAGATAAGAAAAAAAAACATTTGGGCATAGGCCACATTTTATGTCTATATTTCCCAAATAAACAGAAAAAACTGTGTACTAAAATTTATTCCTGAGAACATTTATGTCTGTTCACTGTACAGGACGTGTTAATTTATTTGCAATTAAAAATCAACGCATGCAAATTGCTAAGGGGTGCATAAACATTTGCACAAGACTGTATATGGCAAGCACTTGATTGCACTGAATAATAAAAACATAACAGCTCCCAGACGAGGCGAGGTGGTTTGTAGACTATGACCTTGCGCTGTTCCGTTTGCTAACGTGTTTTGTTTTTCTATTTATTTTCCCTGTAAACAGCCCTGTAAATACAGCCTTTGGCTCACTCTGGTTTCTGATTAATTTTCTGAATAGAAATAAGTAAAAAAAAGAGAAAGTGTAGATTAGCCATTAAGGGAACTTGGCTACGACACAAAGGTTTGACCCCAGCAGATAATACTTTAGTAAAACCCCCTTGAAGACGACACTTAACAAGCTGCTCTGTGGGAAACATCCCTGCAGTTTGTAAATGCAAATTGTTCTGAGCTAAACTGTTAACTACATGGATAAGAACAGAATATTAATGCTCATACTGTAAGAGTATGATAAGACTACACTTACTGTTAAGAATCACTTTCAATAGCCTCCATTAAAACAGATTTAATTCAAAGGCGACGGTTCAGCCTCATATTGCCTTTTTATCCTGTGAACTTCTGGCGTATGATATTTAAAATATGCATACAATGCAGAGGTCATAAAGCTATGCTACAAACAGACAGTCTCTGCATTCCCTCTGGTAATGACCATGCAGTGCAGCACTTACTGTAGGAGGAGATGTCGATCTCCTCTGGAAGTTCACTGATGTTCACCTCAAACCTGTCCTGAACATCATTCAGCGTACGGGCATCGTTTTCATCAGACACAAACGTGATGGCCAAACCTTTCGTCCCAAAGCGGCCTGCTCTTGCCACCTGAGAAAAAAGGGAGGGGGTGGAGTCAGAGAGCACAAAAGATAATGGTACAATCCATCCATCCATCATCTAAACCGCTTATCCTTCTGGGTCACGGTGATAATGGTACAATGGTATCTACAAACCTCAATTACAAAAAAGTTAGGACAGTAAGTGAAATGCTAATCATAAAGCAGTGATTAGTAAATTCTTTTTGGCATGCATTAAATAGAAAAAGAACAAAAGCACGATATATGATATTTTATCTTAAGAACATTGGGCCTCATTTCAACTATAAGAAGAAATTTCTTCTTAAAATCCACTTATGCAGTTTTTACAATATTCTGACAATCTGTATAGTCCATTTCCTCTTTGACTCGGAGAACATGACGTCCATTATTTCCATAATCAGTTGGAAAGTTTGACTCATCAGACCATAATACATGTCTTTACTGGGCATCAGTCCATTTCAGATGTGCTCAAGCCCAGAGAAGTCGGCGGTGTTTCTGGACATCATTGACAACTGGCTTCTGCCTGCATTTGTGAATACAGTGACAAACAACGTGTACTGAAGAATTCCAGAGCCCATGTGCTAATAACCATTACATAGACATGCTGGTTTTTAATGTGGTTTGAGAGATTGAAGGTCACAGGCATTCAGTTGTGATTTTTGTCCTTGTCCTTTACGCACAGCGATCCAGATTCCCTAAATCATTAGATGATAATATGAACCACAGAGGGTGAAAGACTCATACGTCTTTGAAATCTTCACTGAATAACACTGTTAAACTGTTGGATAATTCACTGATGCATTTTTTGGCCAAGTGGTGAGCCTCAATCCATCCTTGTTCATAATCGACCTTTCCTGGAAGATATACCCAAGGTATACCTACCCTCACTTGTATTTCATATGCATATACTTTCCCAACTATTTTGAAATTGAGGACTGTCTCTTGTACTTAACTCTCTGGCCATTTTATCTGAAACACTCAACATGTGCAATTTGTTACTTACTGTACCATCTATTGCTGCACAATTTATCAGCCCTACTTTAACTCATCCATGAATGGAAATGGACCAGATATTATTGTAGTACAAGGTGTATCTAATAAACTGGCAACTTAGTGTAATTATCATTATTAAGTAATATGATCAGTTTAATGACCAACCCTGTGCAGGTATGTGTCAGAATCCTCGGGCATGTCATAGTTGAAGGCGATGTTGACCCTTTCGATGTCCATTCCCCTTCCGAACAGGTTAGTGGCTACAAGGATCCGCCTCTGAAAGTCCTTAAACTGTTGATATCGAGCTAGCCTGGAGGTAACAAACAGAACATCAACTGTTCCAGAGACAACACTACTGAAGGAATAATCCAGCATTTTTCAACCCAATCTATATCTGCTAATGGGCCGCCAATGGGAATCTTTCTTTGTACACTAAGAAGGGTCTTGAGATGAAACAGACATGAAAGAATATCTCATTTCAGTTTCATCTATCGAACACTAGAATAAGAGTAAAGTAACAGTCCAGTCTGAGTTACTTTTGCTTTCCATGAGGTTTACTGGTATCCATAATGTATCATCACAAATCCTTCCCTGTGGAGAAGTAGTCCCACCTCTGAAATACTGAATATGTATTTGCAGCTTAATTTACAAACACCTATGACTGAAAAATGCATAAAAATGCTCCACAAAAATGTGTTCAGCTTAAACCTTCATTCACGGATTATAGAAACTGCTCGTTAGCCTCAATTATAAGTGTGTTTTTTTGCTTCTGTAAACATATCTTCTGTTCTTTTCCACAATGAAATTACTGCTCATGGTAATCGGCCATATGACACAGATGTGGCAGGTAGAGATTAGGCTGAAAAACGTTGGTGGGATTCCTTTAGCAAACATGTTTTGTATGAATGTCGCTGCGTCCCACCTTTCCTCCTGGGGCATTGCTCTGTGAATAGCGATGGCAGGAAAATTCTGTTCCACCAGCAGCTGAGCAAGGGCAATGCAGCGCTGCACTGACTTCACAAAGATCACCACCTACAACACCCAAACCCAAACTCCAATGTGATACCAATTAGCATAATCGTAATAATAATAATAATAATAATAATAATAATAATAATGTTTTATTTATGTGGTGCCTTTCTCAAACCCAAGGTCATATCACAGAGCAGCAAACCAAATACCCTAAAATTAAGCTCCTAACAAAACAAATCTCCTGAAAAGCAAGAATACAGAGAAAGTACAACGTATACCAGATACTAAGGCTGGGCAATCTGGCAAAAATATAATATCATGTTATTTCATACATGACATGTATCACAGAATTTTGCATTTTTCAGGTTTACAAACAAAATGCATAAACAAAACAGGAGCACCAACTTGATTTTTTTTTTTGATTCTACGTTTGTAAAATTAAGAAACAACAGGAGGAAAAATCAAACAACTGGTAAAACTGGCAGTTTATGCCGTTACTGTACACTGCTTGCTGTTTACAGGCAATTTTAACTGGATTAAATTTATCTTTTTTTATAATCCATGCAGTTGTTTAGTGTTCTACAACGAAGATTCCCAAATATCAGGCCATGATCGTTTAATACAGAGGTGCAAAAATCCAATTTTGTCATTATTATTATTATTATTAATGTAACTTAAATTATTACAATAGGATTTTTACTTAAGGTTTGCAATTGAAATGTTCATAAACTAATTTAATTTTTAACATATCAGCCTAAACCATGATTGACATTATATTTCAGTCAATGTAAAACATTTTCCTTTTTTGATCATATGGAATTCATCCATCATGGATAAATATCTAACAACAGGCAATTTTCCAGATTTTTTTAACGTTTATTTTATCACGATTATACCATTAAGTGAAATTTGACAGGCTACATTGTGTTATATTTGTTAGCATCTTAGACGATCAGTGCTCAGTTTCCCGAAAGCATCTTAGTATTAAGATCATCTAGAAAAGTAGAGAGAGTGTTCGGTGAAACACTCGCTCTACCATTTTTGGATTTTTGTGCTAAGATGCTTTTGGGAGACCCAGTGCAGTGGAAGCTTTTATGGTTGGCTGTGTGCCGCGAATTGGGGAACCAAGGTGTAAAGTATTCGTAGAGAAGCTAGTGAACGAGGCCATCCAATTACTTCTGTCCAAATCGTAGGCTAATCACATGTCATGACATCACCACATCTTAGCTTCTTTGCTGGTCCATCAAAACTGATAAGGACTGTGGTTTTATCTGCACTGGGAACCCCTGTTCTAGCATGGGCTTAATAGCATATCAACACACTGCGCACTGATACCAGAGGAGCCAGAAAGATCTGACAGCACTGAATAAAGAGAAATATCTTCAAGCTAAATCCAAAGCAATAAGTGCGCCATCCCTAATAAAGTGCTTGATGGCTCCTGTTTTTGGAACGCGTTTAGTTTCCATGGAGATACCTGGTTGAACTCCAGCACGTCCAGAAGATCAAAGAGTTTCCGGTTCTTCTCGTTGTCCTTCAGCTTGACATAGTACTGCTGCAGGCCATGCAGTGTCAGCTTGGTCTCATCATCCACAAATATTTCCATCGGCTAGGATGACCAGCGGACGGTGGAGCAGGTGTTGGAAGGGTGGGGGGTTGGGATAGGGGTCAAAGGGGGGGATCAGAGTGCAGAATGGTGCATGGAAGGTTACAGAAGGCAGTTAAAGGTGTGAGGAAGTGATAGAGAAGGTTAATAATGTTGTGAAGTGTTATAAAAGGAAAGTGTTGGCACAGAGTGTTGGGTTGTGGTTGCCGTTAATGGGGTCAAGGGTGGGAAAAAAACAAAACAAAAAGACAGAAAAGAGTTGTTTGAGGGTTTCGGAGAGGAAGGGATGAAGAAACAGATATGAAAAAGGAAGAGGGGGAGGAGAGAGAAGGGATGGGGGTTAGATACACCCTCCCCTCCCGTCCCAAAGCCACTCAGCACACATGCATACACCCTCCCTCATAATAAGCATAATAAATGCACCGCTATCAATCTAAACTAACGAATAAATGCACACTGCAGTACTATTCACTACTATCAGCTACAGGCCAATATACAGCACTGTCCTGAAGTCAGAGCCCCTCATTTATTTAATACCCAATCAAAACAGGCATTAAATACAAGTAATTCATTTTTCAGGAGGTAGATTAGATATAAGGCTTGCATAAGGGAAGTGAAAAAAAGGAATATAAGTGAAAAAACAAGAGTTTCCAAAACTGGAGTTCAGAAAATGAGACTCCTAACAACCACCTGGAAGACCTGGTAGACCCCAAAACTGCCCCTATCAGATAAACAGCACTTAAAGCTTTCATCTTTGAGAGAGAGCAGAAAATCAAGCTGCTTCAGATCTGAAAACATCCACAGGTGTTTCTGTTCATCCTTCCACTGTGAGAAGACGACTCAGCGCTGTGGGTCTGAAAGGATGTGTAGTTGACAAAAGAACCTCACTGAGAAAAGTAGACAGACACAAAATAAGAACATTCGTGCTCGAACACTGAAAGCGCACATCTGAGATGTGGAGTAAACTTTTATGGACTGATGAATCCAAATTTGTAATTGGGATTAATGTAACCAACTTCTAAGACTGAACTTCTGAAAATATGCCTGCAGAAGAAGCTGTGATAAAGACAATTGGTGGACACACTAACCACAGAAATATGATATTAGGTTTACTTGTCGAGTCGTTTTCTGATGAAAAATTAATAACTTAATTGCTTAATAACTTAATTGCTTAATGGCTGCTTTGACTGAAAATTAAATAAATGGAGGGCAAACTTTGGAATATGAACGTATTTTGCATATTTGCAATAAGATTGACAAAAATTACTCATTCAGTTTGCTTCTTATTAATCAAATGAACAAACCCAATCTGATACACAGCAAATGGCCACTGACTTTCTACACGGCTAGTTTGATAACAATGCCTGGATTACTGCATTCACTCCAACACTCACTCTCAACTATTCAAAAGTGAGCATTCAACGACTGAACAATGCTTTGAAAAATCAGGCAATTTAGCAGAGGGCCAGATGTGGAGAAGCTGCTAAATTTGATAACGACTGAAAGAGGCACTAATGAAAGTGCAACTGCTTCGCGCTGTCAGTCTTCGGCTTCATCGTTGAATGCACACCGTTCCACTTACCTGCAGGAAGCTCGCACAGCTGTCAGAATACACTCTGTCTTTGCTGACAGGAGTGCAGCTTTTCTGTCTAAAGCCTCATCTCAATCTGATATGCTCCTTTTCCCAAGGCACACTGACCGCAGATCAGTGCCCAGTCAGTGATGAACACGACTGAGATCAGTGTAGCCGAAGGAGAACAGGATTATGAGGTGTCCTTGTCTTGTCTACCTGTGAGTCAATTATAACTGCTCTGTACAGCCTGACTGTACATTTCTGCCCTATTCCCTGATCTCGGTGCAGGTATCTGCTTGCTCCTAATCGCTGAATACTGATATCCAGGCCTGAGACAGCGCTGCTTTATGACTGTAACGACATTAGATAGGGTTTTCTTCACAGTTAGGGATGTAGGTGGCTTCCGTTCAGCTGGTCTTTGGTAATTCATGAAGGATGTTCTCTTTAGTTACCTTTTCTATGCTATTTTCATTACTACGACCCGCGCATCTCTCCTCTTTCCTCCAACTTTTTTCATCGTCTCGTCCTTCCCGCGACTTCTTCCGCATCTTAAGCCTCCCTCACACTATCCTCTCTCTCCTCACACCCGCGCACTCTTTCTCTTCCGTTCCGAGCTTTCTCTAGAGCTTCTAAGTTCTCTCGGAAGCAGGCGAGGCACCAGCGGAGCACAAGTTTGCCGTTGTCCGTCTTCAGGCAGTCAGCTTTGACTCATAGCTGTTGCCACCGGGCAGGAAAAGCAGTTTTTAGACTCGGGGCCAGTTTTTTCTCGGCTAAATGAGGGCGATTTAATTGCGCCGTCTTCCTTGCCGCGAATGGAATTAATGGAAACGCCTGTAGTGCTCCATTCTCCCTATCGACTCTATTTAACTTTGCCTTCTTTGTTTATTTTGGTTATAATTTACGTGTTACTTAATTAGCTCCACTCCGCGCTCAGGAGTCCTAGACTTTTGCCTACTAACCTCATGCGGTTCCACCTGGGGCCTCTGTTAATGAAAGGACAGGAGGATTTGTGGGCACTAAGCTCCAGGCTGACAGGGCTGCCAGCCCTCTTAATAAATGCACAATAAAAAGGGGGAACAATGCAAAACTGGAAGTGTTCCTGCATTGTTTTTCTGTGTCAGGTTTTCATTACGACTCTCCCTGCTTTCTATTCGAAAGTCACGTAGTGGTTTGTTTGGGCCCTTTTGTTACCCTAATTATACCCATGTCTTTGGCTTGCATAAATAAAAGGCTCCCATAAATGCAAGCACCTGAGTGCTTCAAAAACGAGTGCTTTTGAAGAGCACAGTAATTACAGCCCTTCTTCTGGTTTTCAGGCCTTGTCAATATGCTACTCACTAATTTGAAGGTAATTTGTCAAATCTAAGTGCTCCCTATGTCTTGTCAGTAAGCACTGTGCTGCAGAGACTGTGTAGGTTCTTCTAAGAGAGTAATTCTGGGACAGATTCCTGTTTGTATTTGCCTCGGAATGGACTGGATGGACGGTTTATTATCTACGAGCCGCACTCTCAACTGCCAAAAACAGAAAGGCTACGATGTGCCAACTGTGACTGTGGCACTGCCAGCCAAAGAGGGGATTTAAGGTATTTACATCTTTTTCAGTGGGCCCGTTAGCTACCAGCCTGTTTTTAGCACAGACAGAAAAACAGCCCGTTTTGTTCCATGATCTATCTCAGATATGGCTGTGATATTTATCCTCCCCTAACGTCATCCCCGTCTGAATTTTAGGGCAGCGTCTGTAACTAAAGGGAGAGTAAGAGGGAGGAGCTGTTGCCGTGGTAGAAGGAGAGGAAGCGTAATTACATCTTGCATGAACTTTCGGCAGACGGGCCGGATTTCTTTGCTCAGGGTGGCGCTGAACATCATGACTTGCTTCTCGTGGGGGGTCATGCGGAAAATCTCCTGGACGTCACGGCGCATGTCTGAGAGGAAAAAACAAGAAAGCACAGTTCAAAGGTTTTGATCATAATCTCACAAACGTTAAAGTGGAATTTCACAGATTTTTCAAAATGTACGCAAAGAAAACAAAGGTGGAGGAACCAGAGATCTGAGGCATTTAATGCTTCTAAAAGCTCCCTCACAGAAAGCTAGAACACTGAATACAGTAGATACATAGCCTGATACCTGAGATTTTGTTTTATGATGGTCTTGGCCTTGGACTAGTACCCAATACCAACTTATTTTTTCAGATTTACCACTATTTCACCATCATTGCTGCACATAAATTAAGAAGACACATGTAGGTTCACTGGTCATTTTGAGTAGTAAATGGAAAGGTTGTATTTGCAGTGTAGACATTGTGACCCCTGGTTCCTATCACCACCACTGTAAAGAAATCTGAGCTGGTAGGCTTCTCTACAGTTAACCCTTTCACATCAAACCACTCTGACTTAAAATAAAAAAAAAAAAAACACTATAATTCTTCTTTTATGCTTCATAAATGATCAAACATTATTAAAAGTGACTGTCTTTCCATTTTAGTTACTAAGACTTTTACAGACAACAATTAAAATGCCAATAATTCCATGCTTTCCATAAAAAAGTGTTAAAGCAGTTCATCCCCAACAAGACAAATTGTAATAAACAGCACAAGCACAAACAGCAGATATCAGCCAGTTCAGTTTTAAAAGGACTGTGAATGTGAGGATAAAGCAAAGCCAAATGTTTGTTCAGACAACTAGGGCACAGCTACAGGTTTCCTTTATTCATCATCAAGCCCATAACTTTACAACCGGCTTCTCTGAACAAACAGGACGTATCACAGGCAACTAACAGAAATCTGAACCTCCAACAGACAGTTTAACAGTGGAAGTACTACTGGTATGGAAAAGGATTGACAGATATTCTCGTGGCTGTGGTCAACGGAATAATTATTTGTTTATAAGTAATATTAATAATACATGGATACAAAGAAGAAAACACTAAAGGGCCCATATCATGGAAAAACCAAATTTCTCTTGTTTTGAACCAAAAGAGTTTAAAATAGTGTGTAAACATTGTTAGTTTCAAAATATACTGTTTATTACGCAGCCCACACAGTACATATATTTAAATCAATCTGCAAAAACAGCCTGTTTTGAAATTGTTGTTTATATGATGTCACATAAACCGACTCAGGGCAGCACGGTGGCGTAGTGGGTTGCACTGTCGCCTCACAGCAAGAACGGCCTGGGTTCGATCCCCAGCCGGGTGACCAGGGTCATTTCTGTGTGGAGTTTGCCTGTTCTCCCCGTGTCTGCGTGGGTTTCCTCCGGGTACTCCGGTTTCCTCCCACAGTCCAAAGACACGCAGTCAGGCTGATTGGACATGCTAAACTGCCCCAGGTGTGAATGTGTGTGTGAATGTGTATGTCTGTCTGTCTGCCCTGCGATGGACGGGCGATCTGTCCAGGGTGTATCCTGCCTTATGCCCAATGACAGCTGGGATAGGCTCCAGCACCCCACCGCGACCCAGAAGGATAAGCGGTTTAGATGATGTATGTATGTATGTATAAACCGACTCATTTACATACATCCACTTATTCAATCTCAGCAGCTTAGCTCCACCCATTCATAATGACATTCTAAGGAGCGTTTCAACTTTGAGTGCTTTATGAATTAAGCACAATACAGGGCAGCCAATCAGAACAGAGCTTATTTTCATATATCAGTCTTAAAGGCGCAGTAACAAAAACAGCCTGTCTAAGTTATAATGAATTAGAAGAAGCCTGGAAAATAGTGATGTAAAAAATTTTTAGTCCATAAAACCTTATATAAGGAAAAATAAAATATAAGAAAAAAGTAGAATATGGGACCTTTAAATATTTGCATACATTTGCTGTACTTTGAATACACACACAAGGATATTTCTTCTAATAATACAATTAAACAATTGAATGTTTTTGCAATTTGTGAAGTACACAAAATAATAGATAATTAGGGATTAATAATTAACAGACTTAATACTAAACAGTATACATACTGAGCACCAATGTATACCAATGTGTACCACTTTGAATGCTCAGTTGAGATGATCCCAATGCTACAACATTTTTGGGGCAAATCAGTTATTGTGCTTTAATTCATAAAAAAGCCCCTCACCAAGTTGTTCCAGCATCTTGTCGCACTCGTCCAGGATGAAATGTTTGATGTGGCGCAGGTTGAGGCTCTTGTTGCGGGACAGGGCCAGGATACGGCCGGGAGTTCCCACAACCACATGAGGGCTCTCTCTCTTCAACACCTCCTCATCCTTCTTTATAGACAAACCGCCAAAGAACACTGCCACCTCGGGGAGAGACGGAGCAGGACAGCAAAAACTAAACAACAAAGCATAAATAAGCTAGTCGACGAATTATGTATTGAGAAGAAAATGAAGCAGCTCTATTAACCGCTTAAACTCTGTATGTGTGTCAACAATTCAGTTCCTCACTCATTACAGAACTTACAAATTAACTTCATAGTAGTTACTGAGTAATTAGTCATTAGATTAAATGAATAATAACCTGCAGCTGAAGCGTAGAGGGTTATATATAATATGTTCATATTACACCTACAGCTTGCAGGCACATACAAAAGAACACTCTCCTACCTTGACAGCAGGCATGTACTTGGAAAAGCGCTCGTACTCTTTGCTAATCTGGAACGCCAGCTCTCGGGTATGACACATCACCAGCACTGATACCTGCAAACGAGAAATTATTGATTCCTTCTCATTTATAGCAACAAATATGTGTCACTGTTACATTCACTTGGAATCTGTTTTATTAAAGGAGAAGTTCAGCGAAAATTCAAAATGACAACTACCTCAGAGTTACTCGATTAGCCAGGACATGATAGGTGTCCAAAATTTGCTTCTTCAGTTTCAAACTGGAGCGCTAATGTAACTATGAGGCCAATGTTGCTAACAAACACTAGAAGACAATAGTCACCCAAATCTTTTTTGTAAATACATCCTCAGAAATTCTCTTGACTGGCTCAAACCACATCCTGGTTTTCATTAAGGCTCTGCAGACTTGCCAATGTGGTTTAGGACACAGTGTGACTCACTGTGAACTATAAAAAATAACTTCTCTGTGTAGACGAATGCAGTGATCGTTTAGATGCTACAAGTAACTTTTCTGTTGTTTTTTTTGTAACCATTAATCTTGAATTTTCAAGATTAATGAAAAGAGATGCTTATAAATAGAAGAGATGCTTATAAATAGAAACACCAGAAATAACCAATTCAATCTAGCATTCATTAGCCTGCATGATGTGTGTGCTTGCGAGAGGGAGTTAAGGTTCTGCCAGATCAGAATTCAGCACAACACCTGGCTGCCTTCTGCTTTTAGCTACACAGTGAAGTTCTGTTTATTTTTGTAGTCCACAGTACGTCATACTGTATCCCGAACTACACTGACACCTCACCACATGCGTATGCTTAATGAAGACCTGGATGTGGTTTAAGCTGAAAGAGAGACGTTTTGGGGATGTATTTACAAATCTGGGTGACTATTGGTGTCTAGAGTTTGTTAGCAGTGATATCCTTGTAGCTGCAGCACTAAACTAAAAAAGCAAATGTCTTGGCTGATCAGCTACTTCTGTGGTCAGAGGAAAGTTCTGTAAATTTGACTGTACGCCGAATAATTTCTTTGATGTAACTTTAAATACTCTTTCTGTTTTCTTTTCAGCACTCAGTAGAATTACCTGCCCGGTCACTGGCTCTAATTGCTGTAGCGTAGCTAACACAAATACGGCCGTCTTCCCCATACCAGACTTGGCCTGGCACAACACATCCATCCCCAGAATGGCTTGAGGAATGCACTCATGTTGGACTGTAAGAACACAGAGAGAGAAAAGCTTTAAGACAGCTGTAACGTTACAGAGTAAATCCAGAACATTTACATATGTAGCTAGTCTAGTATGCATAGCCAGATGTCAGCGCCACTGAGGGAGCTAAACAGTCTGTCTTTGTACACTAGGCCTGTTCAATGTGATGGAAAAGTCTTCAATTTGACAGTTAATTCGTGAAATTATGATGTTTACAGTTTGGGGAACTGTCTGTTGCTAAATACAGTCAAAAGGCACATTTGCACCTAATAAACTAGAAGTAAGGGGCTAAAAATTCAGTTAAAAATTCAGATCACATTGCCTGATGTAATTTTATATTTATATTAATTCTATACTCTAATAGTTTTATTTAACAGTGTTGACAGATATGATTATCACACTTTATAAACTGATAAACAGCAGAAAATCACAGAGTATAAATAATGCAGCAGTATTGTAGGTGTGGAGCTACTAATTATTATTCATTTGATAATTATTAGTGCTTTTATTGATTAAACTGTGAGTTGTCGTTTTTTCCCAATATGGTAAATTCAGCAAATAAACAGTAGTAGCGCATTAACGTGCCACAGTGTGTTCTCTGTAGGTGTGTTAACTTATTTACACATAGAAAATCAACAAAACATGCCATTTGACCAGGGGCATCCAAACTTTTGTCTAAATATGAATGTAGACAGATGTACAGAAAACTATTTTAAGCATATTTCCATTATATCACAGCTCCACATGATAACACATAAATTAAACACTACTGTTCCCACATTGTTGCACCCATAAAAAACAGGGCTACCCACTTATTAATTAATGTGCTTTCAGAGGTTAATAATAATGTATAAGTCATTCTAGCAAATTTGTTCAAAGTCAGAGCTCAAAAACATTCAGACCATTAACTGGCTTAGACTTTAGACTACAATGCTTTTGCTCTGAGTGAGTCTATACCTTAACCCTGTTTATTTTATTAAAATAAATGATAACACTAAAGAAATATTACCAAATGTTTCACTAGTGACTGTTTTGTTAGTGACAATTCTTAATTTTACTCACTGATTTTCAGACATCAGGACACATTTACTTTAAAACAATGGGATCTCACTGCTCACCATGTGGCCATGGGGGATGTTTTAGCCACACTCCTGCTCTAAAACACAGGAGTTTCGCTAAATCAGGGGTCCACCTAGGGACTAAAACTCTGTGTGTCAGTAGTGACGTGAAAATGCGGGAGTTGTTTTTTAATTAAAAAATTAAACTTACGTAAATCTAAATATTTCAAATTCACTTTAAAAGATCTTTAATAGAAACAACATTAACAAAATACATAAAAATGTGCATAATTTTCATAAGTTGAAGTTTAGGGGTTTGGGACAGACGCCTCCAAATAGAAAGTACCGTATAAATGATGAGTTTATTTAGCTTTTTATTATCTCAATTAATGCCTTGAATTTAAGAATAATAATACAGAATATTAGATAAGATATTAGGTAATATTACATATAATTCACCACTCCACTAATTTTGTAATATTGTAGCACACAACTGCATTTCCATACAACAGACTGTTCACTGTATATAGAACACAACGCATAACTACTTACTCTAACAGTATGTAACACACCGTATACTTCCCTTGGACCTGAAGTTGGACAGCAGGTGAAAATCTACTCATCTAACACCAGCTAAAGGAATGTTTCATGCTCCTCACCCTCAGACGGATGCTCAAAGCCACAGTCCACAATGGCCCTCAGAAGCTCAGGCTTTAAAAGGAAGTCTCTGAATCCTGAAGAGTGGATGGACACATAGGACCCTTTGACCCCCTCCTTTCTTATGGCCATCGCGCCACTGTCCCCGGTGAGCCCTCCATCCCCGACACCACCTGCTGCGTCCACCTCATCCTCCTCATAGTCTAACAGCTCGTTCTCCACGTCGTTCTCAGTCATTCTGGATAAATGAAAAAGAAACAAACAAACTGAAGTTTAGTCTTTTAGCTGAATCGCAACTTGAAGACACTGCAAAGCTTCAAAGACAATTCATTTTTAGGCTCTCAGCTTTAAGACAAACAATAAAGTCTACTTCAGAGAACACTATTTTATCCAAAGTCCATTTTAATGGCTATAACGAATTAATAATTACTGATACACAGTAAAATAAATGCTAGCGACTGCTTATACAGATATCAACAATATAACATATGTAGGTAAGCATGTACAAGGAAACCAAGTCAAAACAATATACTCTGTCAATCTTTGTCACTTCTGTGATATCATTATCATTGTAGGCAGCCATGTGCAAAACAGGCCTCTAACGCAGCATTAAATATATTTTGTGTGCAGTGAGCATCCTGACCAAATTAAACACATTTCATCTGAGTGACTCGGTGGGTGTTCTGGTGAATGAAGCCATTCACATGAGCCATCAGAGGCAAACAATTAATATTAATCAGGGCTGTCACAATCAAGACATTTACCTGACGATTAATCATCACATTTTTTATTGTCATAATTTTTATTAAAAAAATTTTTTGTCATACTTTTCTAAAAAAATTTATATCATAATTTTTTGCAACTATTAAAACAGAAGTCAAAAGTTGTCAAACTGGCTCATTAACCACCCAAAAAAAATTAAAGCCAAAAAAAAAACAACCTCTTATTCTGGTAGCATACATGCAAAAATTTTTAAGAATTAGCTACGCAGCTAAAAAAAAGCAATACCAACATAATTTAGTGCTGCCCTCTTAACACAGTGCACCAAAGTTGGAAATCAGAACTTTTTTGTTTGTTTTCATGATTTAAGTTCCATAACGTCTCAATAAATGCATTCACTGCTTCCTTTTACTTACATTTATTTGCCTCAACCCACAACACTAAATTCACATTTTGTTTTTTGCACCATAATTTGACTGTGAAATCTAATGACTGTGGTAAAATGACTGCAGTCAGCTGAAATAACTGCAATAATCTCAAAAAAACTGTGATGTAATAATTGTGACCGCCCCTTATAGTAATCATAATGTCGTAATATTGGTATTAATGTTATAAATTATAACGAATTTATAATATTAATCAGATTTGTAAATAATAATATGATCAAATGAATGCAGACAAACCTGTCACATAAGTCACTCCCAGGATTTACAGATGTCTTTTAATTATTCTATAATCATATTATTATATGAGGCTTAAGTTAGCTTTTTATTCGCGCCCTTCTTTTTCTCGAATTTTCCGTTCCACCTTAAATGCCGCAGGTACATTACAGCGCCTGTACGAGGGCTGCACTAACTGCTGCCCCATTTAAGGTGGAACGGAAAATTAGAATAAGAAGGTGGCGAATAAATGTACGTTTCCTTTTCGATACTGCGCAGCCTTACAGTGCAGCATTAAAGGTCGCATTACAGTCTGCAATTTTTTCGAAACAGACTTTTCTTTTCATTTTAAACAACAAATGTGACAAATTGATAACATGAACGTTTCAGTAGCTGCACCAGCGGCTAACGGTTACTGGTCCGAGTACGGCGTGTTTACTGTTTACGGAGCAGCCCAGACGCGCTGAGTGCGGGGCAGACTGAACCACAGATCACAGCAGGCAATGCTGATTTTATTCTGTTTGATTTTAACAGCTATAAAAGCCACATTTACCTCGTTTTACTCCGAAACTCTCCGGAATGTTTCTGCTTCAGTTGCTCGCTGCTCTCCTTCGCGTCATTTGTTTTGCGACCAGCTGCTAAAGGAGCCTCGACTAATAGCTGCCCTGCAGTTCGCCTGAACACAGCTGTGCCTGAGGAAACGCTTCCACACCGGTTTGTGCTTTTAAACATTCACTTTTTAACTCATTAGGTTTTCACATCTGCTTCAGCACTATTACGGGAAGTGTCTTTTTACACAGCAGGTGGGGTAAAAACCGCAGAAATGTGGATCGTGTTCTGGTCGCTAACACGTGTTTAGATCTACTTAGCGTAGCGGCTAATTGTGCTATTTCAAAAACACAGTTGTTAATAAATACAGGGCGTCCCAGAAAACTGACACCGTTTGAGATGTGAATATCTCAGTAACTACATGTCCTGGGCAAACGAAATTCAATAGGCTTCATGTTGAACAATACAAGATTTATTGATCAAAATTTGAACAAGAAATTCAGAGGGATGTAGATTTCATAACCAATTTCACAGCTTCACAAATGTAACGTTAACTAATATCTTCTGATACTGGTGGTCGTCCAGATCCCTCTGCCCTGCTCAGACAGCCTTCCTCTTTGAATTTTTGTGCCGTGTCCAAATCTGCTTTCCAGTTGGTGCATCTTTATTGAATTTTCTCGAAAATGCAGGCTGCACACTCCTGTCTGACTGTGTTTGAGCATATTCTAACACACAAAATGCCTTTTCATTTCTAGTAAGTAAGTAAGTACAGTTTATTTATATAGCGCTTTTTACAACAGGTGTTGTCACAAAGCAGCTTTACAAGGGAATCAGCATTAGTGAACCTGAAAAAACATTAGAAATTAAACTTGGTTAGTTTTTACACATTTTGTTAAAATTTGAGGGAGAATTGGCTGTTATTAGACTACGAAATGATGTCAGTTGTTTTGGGACACCCTGTATTGTCAAACATACAAACATGAACACATGGAGGAGTAGATAGTCTATCACAGACATAATCGCATCATCACTCAAAAAGGGAGAATCAAACATCTTAGTAGTAACACTAATAATCATGATTACAATCCATTACTGTCCAAAACACTTTTAGGAATAGATGCCACCTTAGTAGCTGTGTGGTCGGTGATTTTCACAACTGACTGATAAAAGGAGACAAGAACTAAAAGAGCACCTTTAGTCGGGGCTTCATACACTTTACTCTGGCTTTATGAATGTGATATTTACCCAGTAAGATAGTTAAGTATCTGTAATGTTTTTAAGATCTATATTGCATGTTTTGCAGATCAGAACTAAAACTGTAATGTCTTGGGGTTCAAAAAGTTGGAAGCGGTAACACTGAGATCTTCCCAAAAACATCCAGTCTATGAGTCCTTAAAACACAAATGACATTGATTCTGAATCCATGGAACAGAAAGAGTGCAGAGGAGAAATATCCAAAAAAATGTTTAAAAAGTGTTACATGGGTGAAGGCAAAGCAGTATTTTCAAATGTACTTATTTTACTTTGTGTACCAGCAAACAGTTAGGAATAGACCAAATATGATGTGTTATTAACTGAGGAAAACCAAAGTTTCCAATAAGAATATCGATGTATGTCGTTATAATATTTTTCATATGTTCATTGATACAGTTATGTTTGTATATGTTTCATCCGCCTATCTTTAACGAAGGTGTAGTACACACAGGTTTATCAAGCATGAAAAATCCCTTTATGTGAGATACCCCTAATGACTTTTAAGCGATCGTACTTAAAAACTACATTTCCCATTTTACAGGTTTTTGAAAGCAGTCACATTTGCCTCCATCGCTCAGCAAGTCTGATAGAAAAGTAATTCCTTTATCCGTTCAGGACTTGGTTACTCCAAAGAATACATTTGTGGGGTTGCTATCTTTTAACATCTCTAACTTCTCTATGTTGTAACTTAATTCATGTATAATAACTAACAGTTTTGAGAAGCTTGTCAAGCCTTTTAAAATATTTCCATGAGTTTCAGTACTGTAGATGTTAAAGCTTCAGGGGAGTTCCACCCATGTTTCAAATTTCCTGCGTTAATTGAATGGTAGAGGTAAACAAAGTCATTCAAAGTGGTTTGGTGTGAAATGCTCAGTTCTAGAGAAGCTTACCGAGTCAGAATTGTTCACAGTGGTGGTGATAGGAACCAGACGTCTGAAGCATTTGTTATTATTTGAAATGGTTACCAATACACTGCTTAATGCCTATCTTAAAATTACCTAAGATGTAAATCCATTCACGGCAGAGAGGTATAAGCAGGGCATTGGAAGGCAAAGTAGTACCCTAAGAATTTTTAAAAACTTTTTTACCATCATCAACATTACATATGAAAAGACACAGAACACACATGCAGGATCGCTGGTCATTTGTGATAGTGAATAAAATGCCTGTATTTGTGTTGTAGTGATCCCTGGTTCCTATCACCACCACTGCAAAGAAAGTGGTGTCTGTAAGTTTCTCTACAGTTAACCAATTCACATCAAACCACTCTGAATGATTTTGTTTACAGCAGTGTAAGTATGTACAAAATTTGAAAACATTGGTTGAATTCCACTTTGACATCTGTTGTTCATTAGTAGTTGACTGTTAATATCACTATATAGATAACATTTAAGTTCACATGTGGCTGAACCTCTTTTTCTTTAGTCTATAGTCTATAATATCGTCTGTGAGTCTATAGTAGGTGGTGTGATCATGTGTTATCGATAATGGCTTGATTGGGATGGTCATATGTGATGCCACTGCTGTGCATTTTTAAATGTTATTTGTTGTGTTTTTTTCCCATTTTGTCACAGAACCATGTCATGTTTCGTAGGAGATATAAACTTCTGTCCTGAATGTGGTAATATCCTCCCAATCCCTCAGTTTCAGGACGTCATTACGTGTCCTCGGTGCTCGTTCAAAATCCCCATCCACGGTGAGATTTCATTTTATCGGACTCGCTGGTCACTTTATTAGAAACACCTTTCTTGTAGCTACACGTTGCTGGTGTAGTTAGAGACTGTAGCTCATCTGTTGATGCACAATTTGTGTTAGTCATCCTCTAGCCTGTCATTACTGGTTTCTGGCCAGAGGTTGTTGTTTGGGTACTTTGGACAGCAGGCTGCTGTTAACCTAGCAGAGAACCTGACGTGTGTAAAAATGGCAGCAACACAGGTGTCAGTGTCACTGCTGTGCTGAGAATGGTCCACCACCCAAATAATACCTGTACAACAGCGGTCCTGTGGTCAGAGGCTGACTAATGATGAATGGGATAGAGGAAGCCTGACAGTATAATTCATTTCCCAGTACTGTTTGCCAATATGATGAGATCATGTCCTGTCATTATCCTGATAAATTCCATCACAATTTGTTTTTTGAGCATATGGTAGATATCATTAGTACTTAAAGAACACAGACCCACTAAAAGAGAGCATAATTAGTCCTGTGTAACTGAATTTAGTGCAGCACAGTATGTGAAATGTTGAATAAAAATCATTGCAACATTACTGTAAACATTACTGTTATGCTTTTGCATTTTGTCCATTTCAACTCCATTTCAAAACAAAATATCATGACTCATATTGCAATATTGTATTTTCACCTTATCGCCATTCACACTATGGTGTCCTGCTCTGTAGTTATTTGTTTAAGTCAGATAAGCAGCTCTGATATCTACAGAGGGAATGTAATGTTCTTTATATATATATATATATATATATATATATATATATATATATATATATATATATATATATAGAGAGAGAGAGAGAGAGAGAGAGAGAGAGAGAGAGAGAGAGAGAGAGAGAGAGAGAGAGAGAGAGAGAGAGAGAGACATAGATAGATAGATAGATAGATACATAGATAGACGTATATATGTAGATAGATAGCCAAGCACAAAATACAGTATAGAGCAAAAGTATTGTTGTATGCTATTATACAGATGCATAAATACAAGAAGTAAAGATCTATAATAAAACATACTAAAACAACCATAAAATATTATGTGCAGTACAAAAATAAGTAAGTAAAATCGCATAAATATTATGCAGGTGACAACGCAGTGGTGCATGTCACGTCCAGTGAAAATCAACCTAGTGACTAAAGACTGTAAACAATAACATATGTTAGTAGTTGTACATGTATGGATGTATAAACAAAATGGCAATGCATAGTGAAGAGCAGAGATACATAAAGTCCAGTTGGTGCTCAGTGAGCCTGTCCTGGCAGTAGCACAGTGACGAGGTGTTGTACAGTGATGACATGATGATGCTTTAAGACTTTTCTCTTCTCTCTCCAGAATTTAATGGGCAGGTTATCAAGTCATCAGTGGTGTTTAATCCTCTGGTGCAGAGTTCCTCTGCTATAGACAGTGAAGAGGACTCTGAACTAAAAGGCCCTGTGGTGAGTTACTTAAACAGGTTTTGTTTTATTTATGGTGCACAGAACAGAAGTGAATGTGAATATTACTCGATGTTATGTTAATTGTTCTCAATTCTGCACCAGGTTGACAGGAAGTGTTCACGCTGCAATAAAGAGGGAATGGTCTACCACACGAGACAGATGAGATCAGCAGATGAAGGCCAGACCGTGTTCTTCACGTGTATACATTGCAGGTAATGCTTAACGCGGCTCCATTAACAACTTCTGTTACTGGATGTATTAGTTTAACTCAGTTAGATTTCATATTGATTCTGTGTCAGGCAGAAAAAGATGTGCACGTTCCATCTTCACTCTATTATTATTCCACTCACATAAAGGAGGCAAAGCACAGTTCCTTCTTTGCCACACTTTGTACAGGAACTCACTTCTTATTTGATTGTTTACTCTGCAGGCACCAAGAGAAGGAGGATTCGTGAGAGATGTTGATGTTGCCAGTTTTTTTTTTTTAACCATTGGTCAGCGAAATCAAACCAGCATTGTGAAGAGTGTACTTGATCTGCACCAGGTGTACCAGGTGTACTGGTAAAAATTGCTTAGAGGGAAAATCCAGCTGGATATACGCACTGGGAGATTTTTTTTGCAGTGCACAACAACTTGTTACTAGAAAAATGTTTTATAACAATAAAATAATGTAAGAATTACAGACTGTCTGCCTTTTTTATTGGCGTTGTTGTGCATGCTTTAACAGTCTGAAATCATAGACATACACTGTATGGCCAATTGTATGTAGACACCTGACCCTCACTCCTATATGAGCTTGTTGAACATCCCATTCCAAAACCATGGGCATTAATATGGAGTTGCCCTCCTTTGCGGCCATAGCAGCTTTCACTCTTCTAGGAAGGTTTTCCACACGATTTTAGAGTGTATCTGTGGGAATTTGTGCTCATTCTGTCAGGAAAGCACTTGTGAGGTCAGGCACTGATGCTGGGTGAGAAGGCCTGGCCGACGTCCTAGTTCATCCCAAATGTGTTCAGTGGCGTTGAGGTCTGGGCTCTGTACTGGTGACTGGAGTGCCTCCACACTAAGCTCCTAAAACCATGTCTTTATGGACCTACTTTGTGCTCAGGGGCTCAGTCATGCTGGAGCAGTAGAGGGCCTTCTCCAAACTGCTGCCACAAAGTTAGAAGCTTAAAATTGTCTGCAATGTCTTTGGATGCTGTAGCATTACCATTATGCCTCACTGGAACTCAGGGGCCTTGGCCAAACCCTCAAAAACAGCCCCAGAGCATTATCCCTCCTCTGCCAAACTTTACCATTGGCACTAAGCAGTCCTGGTGTCCACAAAGTCCAGATTCATTCATCAGGCAGATAGTGAAACATGATACATCACTCCAGAGAACACCTTTCCACTGGTCCAGGGTTTAGTGGTGACATATTGCACACCACTCTAGCCGATGCTCGGCGTTGCGCATAGTGATCTTATGTGCTTATGTGGAGCTGCTTGGCTGAGGAAGTTTATTTCATGATGCTCCTGATACACAATTCTTGTGCTGATGTTGCTTCCAGAGGAAGTTTAGAGCTCTGTAGTGAGTGATGCAAGAAAAGAAAGACAGTTTCTACGTTCTACATGCTCCAGCACTTGCCGGCCCTGCTTTATTAGTTTGTGTGGTCTGCTGTTTCGTTGCTGAGCTGTTGTTGCTCATAGATGCTTCCATTTCATAATAATAGCACTTACAGTTGACCAGGGCAGATCTAGCAGGGGAATTTTCACAAACTGACTTGTAGCAAGGGCAACATCCTATAACTGCCAAGTCTCTGAGCTCTTCAGTACAACCTATTCTATTGCCACTGTTTGTGTATGGCAATTGCTTGGCCGTGTGGTTGCTTTTATACACCTGTTAGCAATGGGTGTGACTGAAATACCTGAACTCAATAATTAGGAGGGGCGTCCTCATACTTTTGGACATATTGTATGTGTGCTCAGTGTAGCATTATGGTTTACACTGTCATGCATTTATATATATAACAACAAGCTTCAAAATATGATGAACATGTGTGTCTTTGCAATCAGTCTCTGTGTAGAGAAAAGAAGGACTTTTATTATATTTTTATTACACGGTGGTACAAGGTAATTATTAGCCAGGCCCTGAGATTGTTTGTTGAGAATATTGGGTGCGGTTTGATTTAAGATTATCTATATGTTTATGGAAATATTTTTGATTCTTAAAGCTTCTTTAGAAAATATTATAATTACAGAATCATTATAAAGCTCTGAGCTGATGTCGTGCCCAGCACGGCAGCGCCTCAGCCAATCGGAGGAGCCGTGTGCGTCACGTGATCGGTCCAACATGGCTTTCTGTACAGCAGCACAATAGCAGCATGAGGATATTCGTCTGTGGACCGTTTGATTCACCTTTTAGCTTCTTTATTTAAGGTGAGACCTGTTAAAAACAAATGATCAAGAGTTAAACCGTTTGACTTTCCGGGTATGTACTGAGTTAGGAAGTCGGCTTCCTATTCGCCAACTTCTTGTTCGAATTTTCCGTTCCACCTTAAATGGTGCTGCAGTTATATTCTGGCTGCTGCACCATTTAAGGTGGAACGGGAAAATTCAACAAGAAGCTGACTAATAAGAAGCCGGCTTCAGCTTGGTTAGTTCAGAAGTCTTTGCTGTTTGCTATTAGATCCATTTAGTTTGAGTTAAAGACTTTAAAACTTCATTAAGGAAGTTGAACCACCTTTGTTTATGATTCTACGAGCCCCGCTGGTGACGTCTCGTATAAATAAAAATAATGCGTGGCCACGCCTTATTAACGCGTTGGAACGAGATCCTAATGCGTGGCCACGACTTAGTAAGTCTTGGGACTTTACTAAGTCGTGGCTACGCATTATTTTTATTTACACAGGATGTCACCAGTGGGGCTCCGCATGATTCCTATGGAGCCCCGCTGGTGACATCCTGTATAAATAAAAATAATACGTGGCCACGACTTAGTAAGGCGTGGGAATGAGATGATTAAGTCGTGGCCACGACTTAGTAAACCGTGATCTTGTTCCCACACTTTACTACGGAGCTGCGCTGGTGACATCCTGTATAAATAAAAATAATGCGTGGCCACGCCTTATTAACACGTAGGAACGAGATAATAAGATAGTAAGACTTGCTAGTCAGTATTTACTGTATTATTATGAATTATTCACTATTGTGTAACTAATATGCAGGTTATGTATTTAAGAGAGTGAACTGAAGTGGGGGAGCACACAGGCCCTTGCAGTTTAAAGGGAAGTTCCACTGATTTCTTAATCTTTCTGCCTAATTCAGTGCTTTAGATGTCAACAGAGTCGTTCAGATTGGTTTGATATGAAGTGGTTCATTGTAGAGAAACTTACAGACTCAGATGTCTTTACAGCGGTGATGATAGGAACCAGGGGTTGACATGTCATATTTAAATGTAACCTCGTTGGCGTAGATGGCTGTAAAATGTTTTAGGCCTGAACTTTATCTCAGAACAATCACATAACAACATCTCAGGCATCAGGCAGCAAATGTATAACGCTGCTGTCAGAACAAAACCTTTTTCTCTGTTTTCAGTTTTTGAACATAATTTGAAAATACCTGTTGCCCTTTACATTGAATTTACATTACATTTACATTGAAATTTCATGATGAATGGTCCAAAAGAAATGTCTTAAAATTACTTTGAAAAAGGTCTGGTTCCATTGACTTACATTAAGGGTGAAGTAGGTTTTTTCCTTCTCCTGTAAAGTTACCATTTCGGAGCTGTTCTGTTCTGAAAGCAGCAATAACTATTTTGTCTGAAAGCTTCCTGTGGGGGAGCTTTTGGAGGCATTAAACTCCTTGGCCGACTGGTTCCTATCACCACCGCTGTGAACAATTCTGGCTTTGTAAATTCCTCTGAATGGAGCATTTCACACAAAACCACTCTGAATGAGTTTTTGTGTACAGTAATTGTTCAATTATGCAAAGTTTTTTAAACAAATCTGTGGAATTCCCTTTTAAGGGACTCCAGTTGTTGTGCATCTCCATAACAGATTCAGAACTGTTCCCTGTTCTTCAGTCCTGCAGACACACACTGCATATCTAACAGCATCTAGACAGCCATTCTAATTAGCAAACTCAGCTACTTTAAGGTGCGGCAATTGCTGACACAGGTGTTCAGTTGCACACACAGCTAGTATAACCTCCACAGAAAAGCACTGTAAATAGAATGGGTTGCTCTGGAGCAGCTGCCCATGAGGATAAGATCGGCATGTCAGTGTGCTGGCTAAGAGGCTGTAAAGCCCCCCATCGTTGGGCTGTGGAGCAGTTGAACTGTGTTCTCTGGAGTGATGGAGCTCCAGCCGATATCTTTGGGATGAGTTGGAGTTTCAAAGCTAATCATCCAACATCAGTACCTGACCTCACTAATGCTTTTGTGACTGACTGCAATCAGATCCTCACAGCAATGTTCAACATCTAGTGTAAAGCCTTCCCATATAAGTTGAGGCTGTTACTGCAATTATGGAGGACAGACCCCCAATTAATATGCTTGATTTCTGAGGAAGCTAGTGAGCAGGTGTCTGCAGGAGATTCAGTGTAGCTACTGCTACAGCTTGTTTTCTAGCCCTCTGTGAGTTTCATTACTATGAAGCTGGAGCTGTTGATTGATAAGTGAGCCCTGTTTATTACAGCTTTTGTGCCTTTTGCAGTGCTGCCCCTGAACTGTTTGCATCTGAAGATGAAGCTCCGAGTACAACTGCAGTGCAAGAACCTCCATGAATACCTGAGAGAACTGAGCCCTGAGATCCTCGACAGACTCTACAACCACCCAGCAACATGCCTGGCTGTTTACAGGTGCACTTTCAACAGTGTATACAAATAATCTTGTACTTTTTCATGACCTAAGGTTAGTGCTGTTGTATGGGAGTTGTCCTTGACTACCTTGGCTTAATTTTGTCATTCAGCATATTTTTCCTAAATTCCTTAAGTATGACGGAGGAAGTCGCAAAGATAAACATAAAAATACAGAAGAGATATTGTATCATGTTTTCTATTATGTCCATCATTAAGCGTGAAACAAATTTTCCTGCCCAACAAAGCACATCAGAATTTTCTGCTACTTATATTTCTATGCAAAGCTTCACTAAAATGTGATTTGTGGTAATCTGCACTGCAGGATGGCTGCACAGTAGACTGTGATGTGAGGCAGTCTGTTCAGTGTTCATGAATTCATAGTTTTCGCTTTAGCTTTATCTTCACATTTCAAGCTCTTATGTGTTACACAGCATGTTATCATTTGGGCTGTTCTTTGTTATATTTTGCCATTCACCCTTTAAAATGAAAGTGCACCAGTATGCTGATCAAACTCCTCGTTCACAGACGCAGGTTAAGGTTTTCTGCCGTTCCTTTTTCTACCTCAGTGTATTTTAAATTGTCACACATGACTTGTAACTCTCCCAAATGGTCAAGCCATGTACCTCTGGAACAACGTCAGTAGATGCAGATGTACACAATAATCAGACAACTGATTCTAAGAATGTGTTGCTGCATTGAAATGAGTGTTTTTACTGTTTCCCAACATTTGTTCTATATCTGGTTCTGTTTTCATGCACAAAAACGATGATGTTAGGTTAATGATACTTGTCCAATCGAAGAAATCAGAGTATGCTGTTTACATGACCACTCTAATGACCAAATACCTGCTGGATAAGGTATTATTGGTATGCATGTAAACACACTCATTACAGATGTAACTATTCATTGAAGTCAGGTGGCGTTGTGTATTAAATCCATATTTTTCATTTCTCTACAGGGAGCTCCCATCACTGGCCAAGAATTATGTTATGCGCATGCTGTTCCTGGATCACGCTCTGCCGCAGGCAGCCGTGGCTTTATGGGTCAAAAAGGACAGCCAGAAGTGAGTCGTTGTACATGTTGTACGCTGTCCTTCAAAACTTTTATTTTATGTACAATAATAACTAACGAAAATGTAGATGTAAGTCTTATAAACTAGACACTAAAATAATGTCTAATCATTCAAAAGATTTGAATAGTTTTTTCAATAGAATAAAACCAGTTTTGTTGCAGATACATGCATAAAATGGTTCTAATGTGATGATAACATTCTGTAAGTTTCAAACAATTTGTGGGAAACTGTAAAAATGAAGAAATGTTTAATGATGAATGAAGCTGTAAATGATTCCCTAAGAACTTTAAACTTAGTACAGCTTTGAGAATGAAGTTCTGATGAAATTGAAATACAGATAAAATATGGAAGCAAATCTCACTGACTTCGCTGATCAAACAGCTACTTATAGTACATTTTATCAAAACAATTTAGCTAGATAATTACAGTTTATTATTTAAAAACATTGAATAGTGTTTTGCTGTCATAACTAGTTGTTCCAGAATACTTGAATCATGAATAAACCCTCAGTTTGTTTTGCTGTCTAGTTGATAACATTTCAGTCTAAACTGTGTAAGTTATTAATAATGACTATTGCTAATAAGACAAGTGATTCCAAACTTTTAAATGCCAATGTATGATGTACATTATATACTGTAATTATCTATTTAATTTTTTTTCATGTTGTCTATTTCAATATTTGGCCCATATTTCAAATATAAGGCGTTCTGGATATTAATTTTATTAAAAACTACTCACTCTTGATGTTTTACAGCTTTCCCAGTCGTTAGGGAACTACAGCTCTGTTCATCATTCTGGACATTGTATACATGTATTTTGAACCACTTTGGTTTTATGTTGTTGAAAACACTGAATCCAAACTTCAGTAGTGTATGTAGTAAATGTTAATCAAAATGTGAGATCAAAGCTTTTTCATCTGTGTTCATGATGTACACAATTCATCCTCTGGCTCTTTCTCAGGGATCATGACCAGTGTGTGTCTGTGCTGACCGGACTCAGACTGTGGCATAACCAGCAGCTTCAGGGGGGCCTGCAGGGCATCGTTCTGAACCCTGTGTTCAAAGACAACCTGAGGATAGCACTGCTCGGCGGGTGAGGGTTGAATCCTAAAGGCATATATCATTCACTAACACAGAGAACGAGTGAATAAGCGCGAGCACCTGAGCCGACAGGGAAAGAGCTCATTGCTCCACCTGCCTGTCTCCTCCTGCACCCAGGAGGCAGGGCTCGGGACTCGTGCACCTTCCGCCACTCACTCGCGGTGTTCCTCTCCTCGCCTTCCTCGCCAGGCTTCGTCCCTGCTCAGTGTTTGGGCCCCGCCTTCCTGCAGGCTCTCATGTCCATCACTGGGGCCCGGGGGACGGGCGCATGCCACATCCATGTTTAGATAACAGTGTTTCATACAATGTCAAAACCCACATGATCGGGTCTATTAGACATTACTATACAACTCAATGCAGTTTGAAGCAGGTGTGATTATTGAGGCTTACAGTTTATTAGCCTCGTCGCTCCAATGCTAAACTAAAACTTCAAGCTAAACTCCAAACTTCAGACACGAAACATGTCCTGCCTGATTGATTACACTAAGGGTAATGAGGGAAAGTGTGAATTAGATTTTTCACTGAAGACCTTGTTCTTTTCTCTCTCTGTCGTCCACCCTTCCTTGTCCGGTAGTGGCAAGGCGTGGGCAGATGAGGGCAGTAGCCTTGGCCCTGATCGGCATGCGCGGGATGTGGAGAGCCTGGATCGTTATGCTATGGAGCGCTGGGAAGTGATCCTGCACTTCATGGTGGGCTCCCCCAGCGCAGCGGTCAGCCAGGACCTGGCCCAGCTCCTCATTCAGGCTGGCCTCATGAAAAGGTACTGCATTTCACTTTGCTTTCTACAAGGCAGAAGGATCATGTGCTCCCATTTTGTGTAAAATTAATCCCATTTTGTGTAATCAGTCATAATTAGTCCAGTGAGAGCAACAGTGTCTGCATATACAAAAAATGACTATATATGTATATAATGATGACATGATCGTAGCCAGTCGCTCTCACTTATACGGGTTGTGTATTCTTGTTGCAGTGGAGGCTCTTGAGGAGAACTGAAGCTCTAAACTATCAACGTTTACAGAATTTACAAGACTTAAATAGATATAAGTAACACTTCATAAATGTGGTAAATAAATGTGTGCTTGAATGCAGGGGATTATTTTCTGTAATCTGGGTTAGTGAGTGTAGTCTCTTTAAGATTAAAACATGTTCATGAATAATATGCACAGGTATGTGTATGTATGTATTGTTTCAGAGTTCATGGCAGAATAATAACACTAGTGTAACTAAGTGCTTTCCTGTGCTGTGCTCCTTCCTCTATTCTGTCAGTGAGGCAGGTGAAGCTCCGTGTATCACTTCAGCCGGGTTTCAGTTCCTCCTGCTGGACACGGCCTCTCAGCTGTGGTACATCACTCTGCAGTACCTCAAAACAGTGCAGGTTCGTCTTCCAGAGATCTTGGTTGTATCTGTACAGTGAACCATACTGTGGCAAGAAATAAAAGCAAGTGTCTCCCTTTTTCTGAATGCTGTTAAAAGTAGTTGTTGTTTTTGAATGTCCATAAAGGGTGACTCTAAGAACATTTATTTATTTATTTAGTTTAAGTCTTATAAAACTTTGAAATGTTACCATTCACTTCCTAGTCCATACAGCCTACACACACACACATTATGGCTACGTTCACATTACAAGCCTCATTGCTCGAATATGCTCAAATCCGAGCTCTCTGACACGATGGTTCACACACGTTTAGGTAATTGATTCAAATCTGTCATTAATGTGAACGAACCGGCGTCCTGAAATGACCCGCATGCACACATCCTACTCGGTAACGTCACGTGAATGAACCACGTGCATCATCAGCAAACAAACTAACGGTCAGAACGAGCTTCACTGAGAAGATAATTAACTCTGATCAGCTCTCAGCTTCATTATTAGAGCGAGACGAAGGTAAAAAAGGTGAGATGAGCTTCTTTTCCATTGTTTACAGGCTTTAACTTCTGTTCGGCGCTGCTGCCATGGTAACGCTGAATGATGGCGCACGCACAGTGGGGAAAAAAAGCATGTGAATTCCGATCTCACATTAAGGTTGCACGGCCACGAATCAGATACGGATCAGATTTGTGTGTCCACACAGCTCTGAAAACATCAGATCTGAGTCACATTAGGGCAAAAAAATTGTGGCACTTCAACCTGGTACTGTGAACGTAGCCTATCTAAGCCGCTTATCCTTCTGGGTCGTGGGGGGGGTGCTGGGGCCGATCCCAGAGGTCATTGGGCAGAAGGCAGGAAACACCCTGGACAGGTCGCCAGTCCATCGCCGGGCCATACAGTCTACATTTAATATAAACTAAGCTGTAAAATCATCCCATTTTGTGGTGTCCCATCAATTATTAGCACATATTATGTTCATGGTTGTGAACATGACAGCCTTCACTGTTTAACCCACACATTAAAGTGATGCTGAAGGTTGTTTAAAAGGCCCAGATTCTACATTTTTCTTGTATTTTGCTTTATTTCCCCTCATGTGGTTTCATGTACCAAAAACAGTCCTAATCTATTAAATGATAATTTTCCAACCTCTATTTTGCTTTAGACTGTATTTCTTACTCTGATGTATGTAACAGAGCTCTGTTCTGATTTCCCTTGTATTGTGCCTCATGTAGAAAGCAGTCCGGGCTGAAACACTCCTTATAACTTCTGCGTGAATGGGCAGGACTAAACTGTTACAGGCTTAATAGATATATGTAAATATACTGGTTTTTGTGAAATCATAAAAACAATGAACTTAAAGCAGGTTGTTTTTGCAGCTTAATTTTCCATAGATGTACTGTAGGGCTGTGGAGTGAACGGTACATTTTGAAACTTCATTAATATCTTTTATTTGAAAAAAGTGAGAGAGATTCAGTTTTCTTAGATCTGACCGTTTAAGAGTAACAGTCTGTTTCTCGCCCACTTTACTCCTCCAGTCTAGAGGGATGGACCTCGTGGAGATTCTTTCCTTCCTGTTCCAGCTGAGTTTCTCCACTCTTGGCAGGGTTAGTACAGCACTGTTTTTCATTTCAGGTATCTTTTATTTTTCAAGCACATTCTTGGGTAAAAGCTAGCACTGACTATGTGGACGGGGCTGATCAGCAGTGCAGCAGCAGCCACATCTTAATGTGCTAATTAGACAACAACATCCTTCATTGTGTCTGTGGCTCACATAAAGGAAGCACTTCTGTAGTTGTTGACTTCTCTTTGCTTTTGCCGTACTACAGGACTATTCTGTCGAGGGCATGAGCGAGTCTTTGCAGACGTTTCTCCAGCACCTGCGGGAGTTTGGCCTGGTTTTTCAGAGAAAGGTTGGTTGTAAAGAAAAGCAACTGAAATCTGTTTTCCTGCCGTATAACACTTGTACAGTACTTCATACATTTGCATCCAGAACAGACTGTATTCACTGTTCTTGCAGAAGAAATGCTGAGAAATCTTTTCCGAGCGCTGATAGAAAAGTTGCTCTATACAGTGAAAAACTACCTTACATTTTTCTTGCACATTCTCCTACTTTTGCAGAGGAAGTCGCGGAGGTATTACCCTACAAGACTGGCTATAACTTTAGCTGCAGGTGTGACTGCCAACCCTTCATCATCATCCTCCTCCACTGCTATGAGCGCTACACCTGGAACAGGAGAATCTGGCTTTATTGTGGTGGAAACCAACTATCGTGTATATGCTTACACAAGTACGTGTTTTTGGGAATTTTTAAAGGCATCAGCTTTTGTCTCCTGGTTTTGACTTGAAACCATCCTATCTATACTGAAAAAGTGATGTATTGAATGAAAGAGGAGTTCTACCTTTTAAAAATCTGCATAATTAAGTCTTTGAGATGTAAACGGAGTCATTCAAAGTGGTTTGATGTGAAATCATTCATTCTACACTCTTAAAAACGATGGTTCTTTAGTGAAGAAAATGGTTCTATATAGAACCATGAACACTCAAAGTACCCTTTGCATCTTTAAAGCGTTCTTTGCATCATGAAAGGGTTCTTCAGATTGCTGTAGATGGTTCTGTATAGCACCTTTTTGAAAAACCTTTTTGGTGCTCTATAGAACCCTTTTCAAAAAGGTGCTATATAGAACCATCTGCAGCACGTTCTTCATCAATCTGAAGAACCCTTTTATAATACAGATAACTCTTTGATCATGCAAAGCATTCTTTGAGTGTTCATGGTTCTATATAGAAGCATTTTCTTTACTGAAGAACTCTTGAAGAACCATCGTTTTTAAGTGTGTAGAGAAACTTGCTGACTCACAGTGTCTATATTTCAGTGACTGAATTATGCAGAGATGTTTGAAAAATTGGTGGATTTCCCCTTTAAGTCAGTTTGCGTAGTTCCTTACTGTGCACACATGAAAGTAAGTAAACAATGTATAAGATCACACAGTAACAGCTGACTGCTCAGTTGTAATACATTTCAAACAAATAAAATATTGAGTGCACCCAATAATCCGATCTTATATTTTGTAAAATATAGATGTTTTAATAATTATCTTTAGCCTACAGATGATAAAAAAAAAAAAGAAAAGTTGGGGAAAAAAACATCATTTACCAATTTTTCTTCAGATCATACTATGTTTCAAATTGGAAAATGTTACAAAAAAATCAGTTTAAAATCAGTTAAATCATTCAGGTTTATTTTTAATTATCCAACCAATGATGCTTCATTGTTTATATATCCAAAAAGATGAAAACATTACGTTTTAGTCATTTTAATTTTTTCAAGCTGGGTCATGTTCGTGAGAATAATCCACATAGCAGTATAGCTGCAGTATGGAATGTAGTCATTATCTATATATTTGTCTGTATTGTGGCCCTGAGCCTTTTTTAATTTCTTATCCTGGTGTGAGGTAAATGTAAGTGTTGAAATGAAGAAAGATAACTGCTCATTAGTGTGGAGCAGATTGAAAAGTGCTGATTTTTTTGTCTCTTTCAGGCTCAGAACTGCAGATTGCTCTGGTTGCTCTCTTCAGCGAGATGCTCTATCGCTTTCCTAACGTGGTTGTGGCCCAAATCACCAGGGAGTCTGTGCAGCAGGCTATCGCTAATGGCATCACTGCACAGCAGGTACAAGAAACTGAACACGACACTCCAGTTGATCCATAGAACACATACAGAGTTTGTAGAACCAATTGACTTTACTTATATTTACTTATCTTTAACTTACATTTCACAGGCTGCAGTTCTTATAAGGGAGCTTTGAGGTTCTAGACATGACATGCTTTTGCTCTAATCAGTAACAGGGAATTTGACCAATTTTTAAAACTTTCTACAAAATCAAATTGTTAAAGAAAGTTTGTAAGAGTGGTTTGACATGAAGTGTACCAGTTTAGAGTAACGTACCAACTCGGAACCAGACATCTGAAGCCCATAAAAGCTTTTTTCATAAAAATGTTAATGAACATGCTGCGTGATGCCTGAAATATCAATTTATGATAGTTCTGAGATAATATTTTGGCCTAAAACGTGTACTTGTAGGGCGTTGTAAGGCAGCATAGATCCTAAAAAAAAAAAATAAAAATATCTGATTCATCACTATTTTACCATCATCAACATTACATATAAAACTCAGAAGACACCTGTAGGTTCACTGGTGGTTTTGGATCGTAAATAAAATGGTCATAATTGTGTTATATTTCACTCTGCGTCACTATTATATACAATCAAATTTAGAAAGTAAGTAAGTACTTACTTACTTACTTACTTACTTACAATCAAATTTAAATGTAAATGTAAAAACAAATGAACTAAGAACATCTGGGAATAAAAGAGATCATAAAATACTATGATAGTGATCCAGCTATAGTACAAAATAGTTAGAAATATTCTCAAATTGATGTTAAAAAGTCTCATGCATGTCACCTGATTTTCACACCACACTGCTCTTAATGACTTTGTTTACATCTTAACCTTTGAACTATTCAGAAATGTTGAAACATTAGTGGAATTCTCCTTTAACTAAAACGTGTGATATCAGAAACTGGAAAAGATAAGCTGTACCGTGTTCATTTCCTTTTATTCCCTATGATCTGTAGATCATCCACTTTCTGAGGACAAGAGCACATCCAGTGATGCTCAAACAGGTAGCTACAGAGTCTCTTCATTCACTTCTTACAAGTTTAATCTTATCTGCCTGAAGAAAGAAAGCCCAGGCACTTTTTCCTCCTTTTAGTGAAATAAAAAAAACATATATATTCTCTTTGATTTGCTGTCTTTGTCAGACTCCGGTTCTTCCCCCGACTATCACGGACCAGATCAGACTGTGGGAGCTTGAAAGAGATCGGCTACAGTTTACAGAAGGTAAGAGAGTTACTTTCAGACTCGTTGCCAAATCAAGTGTGAAACCTACTTTACACATGCCAAGCAGGCTGGCTGACAACTCCATGATTGCCATGATAATATGATCTGATGACTATCACTACGGGGGGAGGACGGAACTACAATGTGAGATAATGGTGCCCTTCTTTGAACAAAATATGATGTAAAATATGATGTAGTGACTCATATCTGAGAGTAGAAGGCATATAAAGAACGCAGTATAAAGAATTCTTCATACAAAAAAGTATAATACATCGCAAACCTCAGGATAACTAATGACACAGACAAAGCTTTGATGGTAAATTGATTTAAATCATGTAAGACTTCAAATTTCAAGCTCCAAACTGCAACTGCTAAACCACCCTTTGTAACACTGAGCCATCCGGCATGAAGAAATAAAGCTCAGGACACAAATCTGGAACCCTAGCATTTAAAATGCACCGTGTGCCTTCGGTTAGTTACCATGGAGATTTGAGAATCGAGGGAACATTCATTCAGGTCTGTGAGAATGATACAGCTGTCAACAGAACATGTATATCTGAACTATAGCGTACTCCAGAGCAGCCTTTAAAGAAATAGGCTGGCACAAAAGTCTGATTTATGCAATTTCTCCCTTACGCTGAATGCAGGTGTTTGCTTTTCTTCTGTAGGTCTTGCATTGGAGCTACAAATGTAGCTAAAGTAATGGAAGCTGATGCACAACCATTTAGCATTGTGCAAACTGTGTGTCTAAGTCATCACACTGGCCTCAAACCATGTGGAGATGTTGGGTCATCTCAGACAGACTTGATACTGGTATCTTTAAAAATGAACTAAACTGCCATTTTCCTACCTCTTTTTATCTTTTTATTAATTAGAATTAATCTGATTTTGTTACTACGGCTTCTAATCTAGTATATGCAAATGAGCTCTGTTCTGATTGGTTGCCCTGTATTCAGCTTCATTCAAAAAGCAGTCTGGGCTGTAACGTCAGAGTGAATGGACGCAGCCAAACTGTAGGCTTGATAGGCAAATATATGCAAATATGCTGTTTTTAATGACATCACAAAGCCACTGAATTCAAAGCATGACTTAAACTGTGTATGTTGAAACTACCACATTTGAAAATATTGGGAAAGTTTTGGGCCCTTTAAGAGCATCTAAAAGCAGGCTCTCATGCCGAAAGCTAAAACTACTCAGCCCCTCTACTACCACAGGAAGAGCTACACAGCTAACGTTACCTCACACACTGTGAGTGGGAGCTATTTCAGGATGGATTTGTTACATGATTGGATCACGTTCTTTCTTTTTTCCCCTTTGACATCTGATCCAGTTTTTTCTGCTGATGTCGGCCTGATACCAATACCGGGTAATGGATCAGTGCAATCTCTAGACATATAGATTGTGTGCATCTACACCATGATGATCTAAGCTCTTGTGCTCCAGGTTTCAGCAACAGATTTGATATTCTCCATCATACAAAGCCAGAAATTTGCACTGTTTAATTTTTGCGTGACTGCTGTGAAGGAGGAGGGAACAGTCTAACAGCCTAACTGAAATGCACTGCACGTTTTCATGGTTATGAGTTATTACCAGAGATGTGATTTGAGTCAAATCAGACCCAGTACAAGACTGGCCTAACTTAGGGGTGCCTAATCTTTGTCTTGGGGGGCCGCAGTGCTTGTGGTGGGGCGTGGGCAGGTAGTTTTTAAAAGTATATTTTATTACATTACACTGTATTTTGTTAGTAAAATAATTCAAAAAGTACAGTTTTAAGGGGAAAGTAAGTGATGTTATAGACAATATGGCCAAAAGTAAGTGGACGCCCTCATTGTTGCGTTCAGGTGTTTCAGCCACACTCATTGCTGACCGGCGTATAAAAGCAAGCACACAACCATGCAATCTCCCTAGACAACATTGGCTGTAGAATGGCTTGTACTGAAAGGCTCAGTGACTTTAAACATGGCAGTGTCGTTGGCTGCCACCTTTAGCACAAGTCAGTTCATGAAATTTCTGCCCTGCTAGATCTGCCCCAGTCAACTGTGTGTTAATATTGTGAAATGGAAACATCTAGGAGCAACAACAGCTCAGCCACACAGCTGTAGGCCATGGAAACTCAGTGTGGGGATGCCCATCTTCTGTTGCATCACTCACTATGTGTGAGCGCTCCAAACAAAACTCTATCTGGTATTGGATCAGTGCTATCAATATTACTTCACTTTATTACTTAAACTCCGTATCAATGTCCATGGTTTTAGAATAGGATGTCCAACAAGCTCATAAAGGTGTGATAGTCAGGTGTCCACATACTTTTTGGCCATATAGTGAATATAGTCTAAAAACAAATTTGTTCTCTCTTTGGGTGGGGTGGAGTTAGTTATTTTGGAACCAAATCAAATGTCCTCAGGAGTCAATCTTGGCCTACAAGCTGCACTTTGGGCAGCCCTACTCTAACAGGCCCAATGCTGCTGAACTGACCGGATGTCTGATATATTCACTGAATAAATTGTTTGATCCTTATCTAAGGCCATCATTATTAGACTATTTTTAAGGTGAATATCTATTGAAAGTCTCGATTTTTATAAACATATGACCTTTGGAAGCACCAATTAAAACTAATGCTAAAAATGAATGCTATTATGATTGGATTACTTGTTGCAATAATTCCCCATGTAAAGTGGTAAATGCCATACTCCGCATGAGAAAGTAATTTGGTCAACTGCGAATTGAATATGTGCCTGGATGATTCTTCTCTGAGCCTGGAAATGAAGGTTGACTCATAAAAGCTCCTAAGTAGATTGAAGTCTCTGCTAGAATTCCTTTTCTTTCGCTCCTGAATGACACCCTGTGACCTTTGAATGTCAATGGCACTCAGGCGTAAGTGAGCGATAATAAGCATTTTCTCCGATGTGGCTTTCGTGGTGATGCTGAAGGTGTTGAAAGCTAACCCATTCTCCTCATCTTCTTCTGTTCACGCACTCTTTCCTCCACTCTTTGTTTTAGGAGTATTGTACAACCAGTTCCTGTCGCAGGCTGATTTTGAGGTTCTGCGGGACAGAGCTCAGGTTGGTGACTAAATTTATCCTTTCTTCCTTCCTGTGGATTTATCACTCTCTGCAGATGGTTTCTTCTCTCCATGACCTTCTGAAGCCTTTTAAATTCACCCTGTGGATCCCTGAATATTACTTCATACCCTTTTACTTGTTAAGTAAAGCACTGTATGCTGTAGCACAGTGAGTACGCCCTGCATGTTTATGCATGTTGACAGGCGACCCTTTGTTTCTCGACAGGGTTTGGGCGTGCTGGTGTGGCAGAATGCACCTCACAGGGTTATGGTGGTCACACCCCATGGACACAGCGAGGTTAAGAGGTTCTGGAAGAGACAGAAGAGTCACACATAGGACACAAAGGCCCTGTGCATACCTGTTATTAGTGTCTGTCTCAAGTGATCTGATCACAAGTGGACAGTGAGAAGTATATCCATTCACACCTGGCGTTTCTACATGTCTCGAATGAGTCTCCGGTGACCACTTGTGATCTGATTTCGTAACTGGAGGAAAGGTACCGCGGACATTTTCCTACAGTCTCTCGCTAAGTTTGCTATCAAACTAAAACATGTTGTCAGTCCCTTGTTCATGTATGAGTTGTTGCCAACATTTAGTTTGCTTGGATTGCTAATGCAACTGGAGTGGTGATGAATAAAGAAGCTACGCGGTTGCTGATGATTGGTTGGTCCCTTGTTGCTGATTGGGACACACCAGGATGCCTTAGCGTCTTCATTACAAATGCTATGCGTTTGTATGCGTTCCCACTTCCAAAGGTGGTTTGAGTGATCAGATCACAGTGCTTCATACTAGCACTTGCCTTGTCCACTTCCGATAAGATCACCCAAGGATATGTTAATGCCAGGTGTAAAGGGGGCCGAAGACTCTGGACAACAAAACTGATGCCGCAGTAGACTAAAGACATAATTGCCCAGATGCACATCTTTATGGAAGCCATAAAAAAGCTGTCTACATGCATTTGAGTCATTTTCATTTTCTCCAGGAGAGTATAAATGGACTATTTGCTTAAATTGCACCGCTGTTATAAAATGTGTGCTTTTGAAAAGTGGGATCAAGGGGGAAATAAACTAATGTTGAACCACTGGGACTTGTTGGTTAGTCCTTTTTCTGTGTGTGTATTGATTCTGTTGTTGGATGATAAACCTACTAGTCCAGAAAGTAAACATAACATGTAATTGCATTTTTTATGATATTAGTTGGACATTTTATGTGTGAATGAATGAATGTAACATTTTCCAAGCCCGAAAAAGTGAAGTGCAGACTTGAGGATGAGGGGGGGAAAAATCCTAGCCACACTCCAAAACAAGCCGGAGAGGGGAAGGGAAGGCAGGGGATGAGAGGGACCCTAACACACAGAAAGCAAGGTAGCACACATTTCTTTACATTATTGGGAATGTTTGTGGTTTATTGCCATTCCTATAAGTCTGAACTATACACTTTAGCAAGCTACATCTGTTAAAAAGAGTGGGACTAACGTTATTTGTGCTGTAAACTAACGCAAGCTAACATGCTGGCTAGGCTACTAGCCTTGCCAGTGTCAGCACACTGAATTGCAAGCTTGCTAAAAGCTAACGGTAACGTTACACTCCGTGAACATGAACGTAAATGTCTCACATTTTAACCCGAAAAACGTTTAAAAACGTTAACGCAGCACCGGCATATTTTTCTCCACCTTGCCGCAAATCTCTGCCCATTAAGGCCACGTATGGAACCGGGGAGGCAGCGTGAGAATCCCCCCGGTTCTGGAGCCCCCGAGGCCGCGGGCTGGAGGGAGCACAGTGCGCCCGCAGAGGCTCAGGAGGCGGGCGGGGCGCTGAAGGAGCGCCGCGGAGACCGGCGCACCGGGCAGCCGGAGACTGGAGCTAACGAAACCGGGAGCATGGACAAGGATGGGGCTGAAGACGACGAGGAGGACGAGCAGTACGAAGAAGAAGAGCTAGATCCCAGAATCCAGGTAGGCATGATTGTTTTTTTTTTTTTTGCATTTAACTGGAATCAAGTCTCTCGGATGCTGCCGCGCTGGACAGTCAGCTGTTGTTTATCTGGTTAATCTGGACCATTAGCTTGAATTGAACCACTGAATAAAAAGGGGGGATGAACAAACCATTTCAGAAAGAGTGGACCGTTTTTTTCCCATTTATTATATGTCTTTTTTTAATTTAATATGTTGTCTCTCTTCTCTCCTCATTATAGGAGGAGCTAGAACATCTGAACCAGGCCAGTGATGAGATAAACAGACTGGAGCTGCAGCTGGATGTGAGTCAAATTGGTTTGATTTTAAGAGCAAACAGATACAAACATGTGAAGGGTTTGTCCTCAGTGCTCCACTGCTTTTGGGTAAGAAAAGGGATTTATTGTCTAGCACTCATTTAGCCCTATTTTCATGTGGAACCTCTATTTTGTGGCCCAGTTTGTTGATTTGTTTTTCTGATCAGATCAAAGTTCAGACAGGGAGAACTGAAAGGATCTGTGATACCTGTGGTGGTGGTGGTGGTGGTGATGATGATGATGATGCTGATGATGCCAACCCCGCCCTTACCTGGAACCGATCGGTTCTGAAGTCTGTGTTGCATTATAATTACTGTTATTAATTGCCTTCAGGTTAATTCCAACATGGTGGCCTATATGGATAACATTTCTACAGAATATCTTCAGGCTTCTTAATGGCTTGTTCATGATTCCTCTGATGGTCTTGATTTGTATCTTGTCACGTCTTCCTCTTTTAGCTTCAACCATTCCAAGCATAATCGTCTTTTACAATGAATTGGTTCTTCTCAGAATATATTTGGAATAAGAGCTTCAGTTTGATTATCTGAGCTTTACGCGAAAGGTGAGACTTGATACAGACAAGGAGACATTTTTTGTTTTGCCATCCAGGGTACTCTCAGAAGTCTTTGCCATCGCCAGAGTTCAAAGGCATCAACGTTTTTCCACCTGTTTATTGTCCGGCTTTCACATCCATAAATAACCTCAGAAAAGACCACTACCTGGACAGTTCTGATCCTTGTTGGTACATCTTTAAATCTTTACATTTGAAGATCATTTGAAGCTGCTTCATCCTTGCTTTATCCATATTATATTCTACACATTCATCTGCTTGTCAGACAGGGCTTAGATTTATAAAATTTACTTAAAGAAAGCAAAACAGATTCTGTAACACAGAGGGCTGCTCTTTTAAAGGGCCCATATCATGGCGGACTTTCTGGCTTTTTTAAATTAAAGAGTTTGAAGTAATATGTAAACATTATCAGAGTTTCAAAGCACGTCTTTCACTCCCCAGTCCATACAGCATGGTTACATATATGGAAACCACTGCAAAAACAGCCTGATTCAAATTCAGGGCTTTTGTGATGTAACAAAAACAAAAGCAGGTACATGCATATGCCTGTTCAGCCTCAGCGGTCTTGCCGTGGTCATTCATGCTTTAGTTATAAGACTTGGTTGAGTCCGGTCTGCTTTTTGATTGAGGCAGGATACAGAGGCAGCTAATCAGATCAGATCAGTGTTAAAGGCACAGTAACCAAAACAGCCTGTTTAATTCTAAGAGGTACAAAGCGGTTGGAGAATGGTCGTGTGAAGATGAATTAGGACTGTTAATGGTACGGCGGAAAGATTAATTGTTTTTGTATTGAAATTGCAATTTAAGACAATTTAAGAGCTGCATTTTGTTTTTAATTATAGCCTACAGTCTTAAAGTTCCTTTAAAAAGATGGTTCCTTAGTAAAGACAGTCATGCTATATAGAACCAAGAACACTCAACGACCCATTTGCATGCTTAATAAAGTTCTTTGCATGGTGAAATCGTTCTTAAGACTGATGGAAAATGTGTTGTATGGGGTTCTAGATATAACCAAAAAGGGCTCTACTATTGTTATGATGTCAGACTTGTAACAATGGAAGAACAATTTGGTGCTATATAGAACTCTTTTCAAAAAGGTGCCACACATTCTCCATCAATCTGAAGAACCATTTTTAAGCATGCAAATGAGTCGAGTGTTTATGGTTCTATATAGAACCATTGTCTTGACTAAAGAACCCTTGAAGAACCATCATTTTTAAGTGTGTGCGTTAAAAAAAATGCTGTTTTAAGTTTTCAGAGAGGAAACTGAACCTAATAAGAGCTTGTAAAATGGCTGTAGATGGGTTAGACCAATCAGAGGCAACCAAACCTCCATGTGTTGTGACATCACAACCACAACTTATTGGCAGGTTGGCGCACTACATTCAGGGGTCAAGCCTCAAGCCAGAAAAGATGGATATTCTGGTCTTCCTGGCCAAAATAAATCAGGCCGGAATCACTATTCATAAAAAAATCGCAATTTAAATTGCAGTTGCAATATTAGTCGGAAAAATCGCAATTAGTTATTTTTCCCAAATCGTTCAGCCCTTGTTAACGGTACATAAACCCACGCAAGTGGTATAAGTGAAGCACAAGGGGATAAAGTAAACTACAAGAAGAGTGTAGGATGTGGGCCCTTTTCCGTGTCAGTTGGAGAACGTTTATTGGACTGGTTCTTTGGATACGCCTTGCCATAAAATGTATAAAAAGAACTTTATGGTACACATTTGATTTCACTCCATTTATTGTCTGCTATGTTGATGCATTTGTGATTCTCTTCTTTTTAGGAGGCGAGGTCCAGCTACCGGAGAATCCTCACAGACTCGGCACGCAAACTCAACGCTCAGGGCTCACAGCTGGGTGCCTGCATAGAGAAAGCCAGACCATACTACGAAGCCCGTAGACTGGCTAAAGAGGTATGTAAATCAGGAAGAAGGGGAGAGAGTGTCCTTCCTGAGATGTACAAGGTTTTGTCCTTGATGCTGAAATAAGCATTCAGATTGTGTATGTCACCGCGCCTCTCATGAATGATAATAATCACCTCAATTGGGGGAGTACGGTGAAAACGACCCAGAAAACATCCCTTGGCTTAATGACCACTTTGGGGCAACGCAGCCCGTGTGTCCCTTAACACGATTAACCCCTGGAAATACAAGATATGATTTGCAGATCAATTTTCATTAGCGTTGTTAAGAACCAATCTCGGACATGTAATTGGACTGGTGGAAAACTCTCAGCAGAGGCCATAGAGTGTAATTGAAAACAATTGAAACAGAATTGGATTGTAAGTTTGACCTGGTCAGTCCTTCGCTTGAAGAACTATAAACACACTTTGCGGGAGACTGAGTGGTCTCTACTCGGAGCATAGACAGTGATTACTTGTGCCTAATAAACTTATATTGTTTGTACTGTTTTTTTCCACACTAAACTTGCTCTATGGTTCAGATCCTCTTTAAAAGAGGTCTGGAAAAAAAAATCAAATATAAAATCACTCATGCATAGTCTCAGCCTCAGATGCGATATATAGTCACAACGGTTTGCAGGCGCTGTCCTATGTGGACCTGAACCTATAACCGATAAACTACGGAGGATTATTTAATTTCCACAGGGTGGTCCTGTTTTAATCGGCGTAACTTTTCTAGCCTTTACGGTAGCTTTAGCAGCCCGGTAAACTCGCAGACCAATCGCATGCATTGTACATATCGCACGTGATGCTACTCCAATCAGATCTGTGCATTACGATGAGCACTGAGACTTGAGTGAGTGACACACACAGGTGAGGAACGAGGTGAGAAACAGCAGTCGGAGAAGAAAGTGAGTCAGAGGGAAGTTATTTAACATGCTGTGCTCTAAGAAGAGAAAACTTACAATAAATGTTGTTGAAATATTATTGAATTTCACTTTATTTGATTTAACATTCAGTTGTTGACTGCATAAGATGTTGATATACCTACTAGGCTACTTCAGTAAACAGTATATGGCACTGAATCATGACGCAAGTTACACATCATGATGTTTCGGACGTTTGCTTGAGGAAATTTTCTCTAACTGGACCCTATTGAATTTTAATTAAAGACCCCTGTTTTGAGTGAGATATCCTCAAGAGTTTGTCAACGTATTTGTTTCCCTCGGGTTTGTTTTTGTTTCAGGCCTGTCTTGAATAATACCCTCCGCTAAAACTTTGGTCTGGGATTTATTATGTGGTCATTTTTCATGTCAGTCAAACGGCCTTTCCTGTCAAAGTAGGCAGTCCTTGGCTGTGTTAAGCAACAAAACACACCAGACTCTCTGACGATAGGCTGAAGGCTGGCTTGCGAGACTATTTCATGCTTATGTCAGCAACACAAAATCACTGTAACATGTAGCTTCTCATTTTATTCATCAAGTGTAGTCGATCATGTTTGGCGTCTGAAGTTTGCTTGCTTTAGTTTTGTGCTGAACCTGCAAGGCTAACGTAGCAAACAAGAAACTGAAGCTGATAGTCTGTCAGTTAGCATTGTGCAAACTGCAGGTCTAAGTCATTAAACACTTTCCTCGAACCGTTTCGAGTTATAATCTTAAATAGACTTGTTTATGTGGTTTCAGATACTGTTGACATCCTTTTGAAAATTTTGTGGCCAATGCTGATACAGATTTTAGCTGTTCTAATTTTAAGAAGTGATTTCGTTTGGGTGACAACTGTCTGAGGTTTTGTCATTGGGAGATCACGAGTTCGAGTCCCAGTCATGGTGAGGCCAGAACAGTTGCTGATCATTGACACATTCGCCGATACCAGAGAACACTGTAGGTATAGCAGCCGCTTTGAATCCAGAATTTTTTTTCATACAAACAAATTTTTATGGACATTTTATATGTGTACAGATTAGGGCTGTGCACTGATACTGAACTGCTTGGTTAAACGTCCAAGGTGCCTGTACTGGAATGCTGAAATCACTATGTGAGTTGTGTTTTATCACTGGAAGGCATACAGATGACAAATTAATCAAACTGTGATTTTATACTTTAGCAGAACGTGGAAATTTTGCTTATATTTGCGGCTATGTTGTTTTTTGCTCCTCTGAAATGTGAGTATCTTAACATGGACACATTACCAAGGCATAGAGAGAGAGAAAGAGAGAGAGAGAGCACGGCCTGTAGATCTGAGATCAGGGTCCAAATCCCAGTCATGCAGATGCAAATCCAGGTGGAATAAGAACAGCCGCTAATTATCAGATATTAGATACTAGTTAAAACTGCGGGTCATAAATATTGGCCGATATAATGGCCGAGTTGAGTGTTTATGGTTCTATATAGAATCATTGTCTTGACTAAAGAACCCTTAAAGAACCATCATTTTTAGGTGTGTGCATTGGCAAATGGAAACTGAACCTAATAAGAGCTTGTAAAATGCCTGTAGATGGGTTGGACCAATCAGAGGCAACCAAACCTCCATGTGTTGTGACATCACAACCACAACTTATTGGCAGTTTGGTGCACTACATTCAGGGGTCAAGCCTCAAGCCAGAAAAGATGGATATTCTGGTCTTCCTTGCCAAAATAAGTCAGGCCGGAATCACTATTTATAAAAAATCACAGTTTAAATTACAGTTGCAATATTAGTCGGAAAAATCGCAATTTTCTCCATATCATTCAGCCCTAGTTAACGGTACATAAACCCAAGTGAAGCGCAGGGGAATAAGGCAAAATACAAGAAGAGTGTAGGATGTGGGCTTTTTTTCCATGTCAATTGGAGAACTTTTATTGGACTGGCTCTTTGGTTATGCCTTGCTATAAAATGTATAAAAAAGAAGACTTTATGGTACACATTTGAATTCACTCCATTTATTGTCTGCTGTGTTGATGCATTTGTGATTCTTTTCTTTTTTAATCGGCAAACCAATATATCGGTCAGGGCTAATTGCATAGCTTAAAACAGGATCATGAATCTGTGATTTTGTCCGTAATTTAATCCATTTTACGGACATTTTATGTGTGTTCAGATGTGTTAGCTTAGAGTAGAAACCAAATTTTGCAGACGCTGTGTTGTGCACCTCAGCTTTACTGTGTTGATATTCAGCCCACATAATGGTTTAGGGCTTACTCTTTCCGTTTGAGACAGCTGAGCCATAGCTCCACAAAAATTATGCCTGCAGCCTAACAGGAGCTGCCATCAATCTTTTCGGCGTGACCTTAAACTCCGAGCAACCTTGTGCATCCATGGAGGTCCTTTTTGGGTGCCGTCCCTGGCACTTGTATATTTTTTCCAGCCCATGAGTCTGCATCTATCTTCATCAGCCAGGTCCTTGTCCAAAACAAAGTTAGACATCATCCTGGGTGGCAGCGACATGCTCTCCCCAACTTAGCCACTGAAATATGGGCTGCTATTTTAAGTTCCCTGTGTTTATCGATTGTTTGGACCCTCTTTATTCAAGCACAGCAGTTCCCTGTTGACAAGTCAGCCTTTTCTGTTAACTAAATGGTTTTTGGTTATGTCCTTGCATGCCGTGTAATTGGGTGTCAGCGCTGGTCTCCCGCTCTTTGATTGGTTAATGACTTGGCCTGGTATTGTTGCGTGACTGCTTATGGCCCTGCATGTGATGTGTGGGATTCAAAGGTTTCTCCCTGTCATGCATAGCAGGGATTATTATTTCCCTTTATTCCGTCATGCTTTTATTCTCCAGGCCCTTTATGCATTCGTATTGTCCTCGAATGCTTTATTTCTCCATGAAAGGTCAGCCTCTCAGACTCTCCTGACAGATGTGCCTATGTTTAAGAGCAGAATGATTGATGGCTGTATCTCCAGTTGAGGTGTGATTGATTGCATCACCTGCAGGCCCAGCAGGAGACTCAGAAAGCTGCCCTGCGCTACGAGAGGGCCGTCTCCATGCACACGGCTGCCAGGGAAATGGTGTATGTGGCTGAGCAGGGCCTTCTGGCCGACAGGAACACACTGGACCCCACCTGGCAGGAGATGCTCAACCACGCAACATCCAAGGTACAGTGAAGGAGCCATTCGTGCCATTCGAATATCTGTATTTGTAAACAAATTGTAAACATTTCTGATTGTTATGAATAACAAAATTCAAGACATTCATTTATTTCTGGCACCTACCATAAGATATGATCTGTACCTAATCTTATGCTTGATTTTTGTGATTTTTTCTTGTGCTTTTCTTTGATTTAATACACAACAAGTAGGCCTACACAGTGATAACTGGGAGAATTTTACACCTTACACTTTTTTTTTTGTTTGAAATATATAGTTTAATTCAAATATCAATTTCTTACTTTTGTGTATGTGAAACTTAAAAGGCCCGTACCAAAAACCAAAATGGAAAACCAAACGTTTCTCACTTTTTAAAATAAGAATTTGATATGTTCAATAAACATTGCTAAGAATTCAAAACATACAGTTCACTGCCCAGTCCATACTGTCCATATATGGAAATTAAGCTGCAAAAACAGCCTGATTTTAATGTATTGTTTTTGTGATGTCATTTTTCTGCCTAATTAGTCTGCAGCAGTTTAGCACCACCCTTTCACATCAGAGTATGCTGAGAACTGTTTGGCTGCTGAAAACTCCTCTAATTACTACTTTATTTCGAAAAAGAATGTAATAACTAAGTTTTTATTTTGGAAATACATTCATACAAAGCAATGACTAGGATTATTTTTCTTTTTTAGATACATCTTTTCAAGCTATGAAGCACAAGCCTGTAGATCAACATTTTTATATATGTATAAATATATAAAATGAAGTATATTTCAGTGAATAAAAAGACATTTTCTGCAGAAACTTAGAACAAAATGCCATTTTTAAGTGTGTTCAAAATAAAATCAGTTTAAAATCTATCACTTATACACACAACTCAGTAATTGCATTTGAACACATGAATAAAATATTGTAGTTGTAGATTTATTATTATTATTATAGTCCTATATTTATATATGGAACTACAGGCTCTATTTTATCTGTTCCAACTAATTAAATTTCAGAAAAACTAAATATCCTGATTCTTATTGTATATTGTAAAAATGTCTTGAAATATTGTGATATAATATTTTTTGCCAAATCACCCACCTCAATTTGAAATATAATGAAAAAAGTTACTGTCTTGATATAGAAACAGTTTTCAGGGTAAATTTTCTGTCTGATCACTGTGAGAATTCAAAGATGATGTTTATATGGGAATACATGCATACATAAAAAGTCCGTGTTACATTTTACATGCAGTAGGTTGTGCCCTGCTCTCCTCTACACTTAACCATGTAAAGCTAAACAACATGACATTAGCAAAGGCTAATTAGACAGTAAACACATGGAATTCTTCTACTGAGAGTGCAGGTCGTATGCACAGCCCGTTAGAGGTAAAGGCTCTTATCTCATTAACAGTTTTGCTTGGATCCTAATGACCTCCCTGCTGCTTAAACACTTGCTCTCTAGGGCCAATCAATGATGGTGATTAATGCGTACCTGCACTTAATGATCAAGGTTACATGTCTTCATCTGGATTCCATTGGAGTCTTGATCGCGGCTGTGCTGTGTAAGAGTCCTACCATGTAAGAGTAGCGCTTTCTGTATCTTAAACTTCAGGAAACGCAGGACGTATATTATTTTTATGCCTTTTTTTTTCGTACTTATCTAAAGCATCACCTCATTAGCCCTCAGCAAACATACATGAACAATGCATTTGGCTGTCAGTTGTTTTATATGAACGTTGCAACCGGCTGCGGACTTGCTTGTTGACAGCTGATTGGCTGATACGTTTCCCTGGCAGGTGAACGAGGCGGAGGAGGAGCGTCTGAGGAGCGAGAGAGAGCACCAGCGGGTCACTCAGCTGTGCCAGGAGGCTGAAGCTCGAGTGCAGACCCTGCAGAAAGCCCTCAAGAGGGTCATCCTGAAGTCCAAACCATACTTTGAGCTCAAGGCCCAGTTCAACCACATCCTGGAGGTAAAAATACTTCAGCTCCTGCTGCTTTAGAGAGATGCATCGATTTATAGCTCCTGTCAGCTTTCTTAATATAAACTTTTGTGAACTCTGTCCTCAGAGACCAGAGCGTTTTCAAAATCTGAAACTTAGGTGGTTTGATATGAAAGTGTTTTATTATTAGTTTTACATTGAAGTAGACTGGCAGATGAAGACTTGCGGTCTCTGAGGAAAAGCTTCTCTAATCTAGATAAGCAATAAGATGCTGGGAGTTAAGGTGTGTAAGGTATATATAGGTAAATTAAGATCGAATGCATTTATGTATGGATAGGGATCTAGGAATCTCCACCCCCACCTGATTTTTTCCCTGTTTTATATGTGCGTAGCAATGTACACTGTGAACTGAAATTCTTTTTTTTTTGTGGATGACTTACGTGAAATAAGCATTTTATAGTTATACATCTAGTGTATACAATAAAATAAGCATTTCATACTTTACACTATGATTAGATATTGCTATAACTGTAGCTCAGTAATGTATAGCGGTTAATGAAAAAGTGTGCAAGGTCCACTACAATCAGAGACCACCCTTCATTTTTAAATTTCAGCCAAAATGTCCATTAAGTACAAGTTATTTATTTATCAGTATCGGGAACATAAGCTCCCCGGACAAAAAAATTAGTCACTTTGCATGTTTAAGGTGGTGACTAATTTTTTGTCTGGGGAGCCGGCGGTCCCTGTCCGTCAGTTTCGTCTTTCGGTCACAATTCTGATGAGAATTTCATGTGGACTGGGATTTTTGCTACTGCTGGTCGACCCGTACAACCATACACTTCAGAACACCTGCAGATTCAACTATTTCCATCACACTGTGGCCTTTGGCTGCCCTAATGCAATCACTCCTTTTGCCAATCATTAACATCTGCTTTGCTACCCATTTTCTGCACATCAAACAAGACATTCACTGCACTATACCACCTTTTCTCAATCTATGAATCCCGTCGCACACCCCGCAGGTCCAGGGAGCTTATTTAACAGTAAATTACACAAAAGCCTAAACAGCTTTTAGAGTGTATTTAGTATGTTTCTTTACCTTTATGACAGCTTCTATTCATTTTGAATGACTTGCTTTCAGTTTTTTTAATGAAATATGCAGGGACATTTTTCCAAACTTAAGTCTTCAAAATTGTTTGCATTTTCTGCTTCTCGCTTTTATTTTAGCTTTATTTTTCAGAGGTGAAAGCTTTAAATGCTTTTTATATGATGGGGACAGTCTTGGTGGTCTGCTGGGTCTTGCCCAGGTGTTAGGAGTCCTTTTTTTCTCTGTAGCTTGTGATCAGTTTTTGAACTCCCTGTTATTTTCCTTTGACGTTCTCCTTCATTATGCAAGTGGATTATCTTGTATCTAATCTCCTCATAAGTATCTTCTGATATAATTGACTTTAAAAATAAGTAAATGAAGGATGGCCTCTGACTTTTGCACTCTATACATTCTTGCACTCTATACATAGGTAAATACGAAAAAACTTCATTTATCAATTAATTTTGCTCTGTTGAAAATATAACTCTAAAGTCAGTTTTTTGCAGGTTAAATTTCTCATATATCTGTAATTATTTGCAGGAGCACAAGTCCAAAGTGGTCCAGCTGGAGGAGCGCGTGGCGAAGGTGAAGACCCGTTACTCCGTCGCCCTGCGCAACCTGGAGCAGATCAGCGAGCAGATCCACGCTCAGAGGGGCCGCATCCGAGCAGCCAGGAAGCGCAACAGGGCTCGCGGGGGGCGGAGCTCTCCTGTAGGGGCGGAGTCAGAGGGTGTCATTCAGGCCGGGGCTTATGGGGGGCTGGGTGCGAGTCTGATGGATAATGACTGGGCGGATCAGGAGAAAACGAGGCAGTGGGTGGAGAAGCACAGGGAACAGGGGTGGGGTCAGAGGGAAAGGGCCGAGAGGGCGGGGTCAGACTCCATGTCAGTCATCAGCCTGCAGACCATTGCCTCGGACCTGGAGAAATGTGACTCGGTGGAGCATTTGGGCGACCTGAGCGACGTTGGGAGTCTAATCGGGGAAGAGAGAGACACAGAGAGCGAGAGAGCTGTCAGGGCTGAGGAGAAAGAGGTGGAGAGAGAGGGGCCGAATGCGGCCGTGCAGGAAAAGGAAGCAGAAAGGGGAGCGACCGGGACTGACCGGCAGCAGAGGGACAGGGAAAGTTTCGTTAAGCAGCACCACAGAAGTGTTAGCTTGTGAGAATCGGCCTGAGAACGCACCTTAAAACAGGGGTGTCAATCTCAGATCCTGGAGCTTCCTGCAGAGTTGAGTGTTTTCCCTCTTCTAACGTACAGAATCCAACTCATAAAGGCCCTGGATTGAAAAACAGGCTTATTATTAATTAATTATTAACTTGAAGACTCGTAAATCATTAAATACTACTAATGATTTGGTAACTTCAGTGAAAGTAATCTGAAAGGTATGTAGTTTAAAGAATATTTTGGCAAAATATTTGAAATTTGAATAATTTTCCACTTACCCCAGATGTAGTCGATCAGCCAGTACATGTTTGGTGTCCAAATTTTGCTCCTTCAGCTTAGAACTGAAGCTACAAGGCTAATGTTGCTAACAAACAACAGGTCTAGACAACAGTTTTATTCATTTTAATAGTTCACGGTAAGTCATACAGGCCCAGATGTATATACAACCACAGGAGCAGTGCAAAATGTGCCATAATATGCGACCCCTATATGTGTCCACAATGTGTCTGCGTTAAAACATTTAGTTGAAAGACTGCAGCTCACCATGCAAACTGCACATTGCCCCGTCCACTAACTGCTCAGTCAGGATGTGCTAGGTTTAAAAGGCGCAGTGACATAGTGAAACGACTGTGTGTGCATGTTGTGGCCGCATCACGCCATAGTTTCCTCTGCATCTTCTCACATAAGTAAGAGGTGTGACATGGCAAAAAAATCAAATATCAGTACTTGAAGACATTTTCACAAAACAGGATATGCGTCATAATATTTAGTTTTTCTGAGGTTTAATACGTTGGAACAGACAAAATGTACCAGTACTGTCACTTTTTAAAAAAATGCTGTAAAAAACTGTTAATGCAATGATATTTATTAAGTGTTTTACACGGCACTGCACTAAATCCAGTTAAAAAGGACTGATTATGCTGTCTTTTTAATGACATGCATTTAATCAGTGTTCTTTTAGTCCACAAAATCACAAAAGCAAAGTGTGATGTGATTTATTATGGTAACGATAAAATATGGTCATAAAATTCGACATAAAACCCGCTGCCTTGAGTTGCTCAGGGCAAATTGAGCGAATATGTAATCGGCTGCACTTGTAATATTTCCACCTATTTCTTGCGTGATCCTCCCACATTTTGCACAGTGATCTTTCAAATGCATGCGGAAGAGGTGCATTTTTCCATGCACACAGCCCATAAAATGCATGTTTAGGCTCAGGCGAAATGCATCAGAGTTTCATCTGAAACTGCTGCAAACAGCTCAGTACATTATGACTGCTTAGTCCTAATGTAGTGAGCTGTTAGCTTTAGACACTTAAACCACAACGACAAGTCTGCACAACCTAAATGAAGACCTGGATGTGGTTTGACTGGGTTGAGAGAGGTTTTGGGGATGTATTTGGGTGACTGTTGAGATCTAGTGTTTGGTAGCCATTGCAGCCTTGCAGCTCCAGCTCTAAACTAAAGATGCGGTTATTTTGTTGGCTGATGGGCAACATCTGGGATAAGTGGAAAACTGAAATTTTGGTTTTTCACTGAACTATTCCTTCAAAAAGGTGAGGAATTGAATTGTGGGACATGTGTAATCCCTTATAGTTAGGTAAATAAAATGTAATCTTACACACACACACACACACACACACACACATATATTACACACCTTAAATGACTTACAGTACTCTGCAGTGTGGTCCTTCAGGACTGGGGTCTGACGCTCCTGCCTTATAACCTCAGAACCTAGAGAGTCAAGGTCTTACCTGCAGCCTTTCACTCCAGTCTCTCTGGTTGTGCAGCACGACATGGACAAAGTGCCATATTGTGATCACATTGCTGCATATTGCGGTTGCAGTATGCCCTGCAGTATATTAAAAACACATGGGTGAACCTTGCTGAGGTGTAGTTAATAATTAGCCTGCATTATTATTACATGTATTATTACATTTACATTTGTTGGATCACTTTAATGCCATGAGTCACAAAAACACCCACAGAAGCTCATCTAAGAGGCTGTGATTGATCGGGATGTTCACAGCATCCTTTCTGTTTACTTACAGAACTCATTTTTATTATTGCAGTCTGATCAGTTTTGGAAAGGTCAGTATTATTAGAACGTTTAGCAGATGGTAGATGTTGTGCTGTCCTGCTCTCCGGTCAGTGTTTAAGGCATGGTTGTTCTTTGGAGCGACTGTGTTTTTATCCTGCAGTCGGTGACAGAAATGTAATAAGCGAATCTCAGCGTGAGTGAGGAGGAGAGCGTGAGTGAGGAGGACAGCGTGAGTGAGGAGGAGAGCGTGAGAAGCTGTACAGGAAGGAGCTCAGTCTCTGGCTGCTGTGGCCGAGAGATAGAAGTTCATTTTTACGCTACAATGGAGGGAAGAAAACTGCTAATAATACTAATACAACTGCTACTAATAATAATAATAATAAAACCTTTTACTTTTAACACTATTTTCATTATTTTATTTTATTTTTTCCAGTAGAAACAGATTTTTATTACTGGATGGATTTTTGTATCTGTTATTCGTACTATTAATAATAACTTTCTAATTATTATTATTATTGTTATTATTATTATTATTATATACTCTGGAGGTAGAGGTCTGTTTTTATTCAACCACAGAGGGAAGAAAAAGACTAATAATAATAACAACAACAATACTACTAATAATAATAAATGAAAATAATTTTAGAGAGTTATTATTATTTATTTATTTTTATTGTTGAGCAAAAACATTTCTATTCCTGGAGGGAAACATTGTAAATAATAATAATAATGATATTAATAATGTGAAGTTGTTATTTTTGTATCTGTTATTCATCCTATTGATAACAACTTTATGATAATAATAATAATAATAATAATGATTATTATTATTGTTATTAAAATTGTCATTATTACTATTTGTTCTTCTCCCTGGAGGGAAAAGACTGCTACTACTAGTAGTACTACTATGTACTACTACTACTACTAACAACAACAACAACAACAACAACAACAATAATAATAATAATAATAATAATAGAAAGGTCTTTGTTCTTCCTCTGATGATAGAAAGCAGTTTTTTGGTCAGTAATAAAGGGGCAGCTATAAGGCTGATGCAGCTGGAAGAGCCGATGAGCAGTTGTGAGGTAGACGTATGTGAACTGACACAATGCTGTCATTGTAACTGCAGTGGAGCAGAGCTGGATCTGATTCTCTTTCACATAATAATGAATAACAATGAGGCGGGACACATTCGGGGGGGATCCACCGTGTCCGCTGGGAGTTGTAGTTCTCACGCTCTGATCCTTTCACACTGTTTAACTCTCCAGTCAGTCACAGAGAAACAGAGAGAGAAAGAAAGGAAAGTGAGAGGAAAGAGGAGGCAGAGAGGCAGTCGAACAGAAAGACTGGAAACAGATGCTGCTGCACATCATGGATCTGCTGATAAAAATAGTATCGGCTGCATTGACCATTTCCTCAGCGCTGAACCTCAAAGACCTGCATACGAGAGAGGGAGAGAGGGTGGAGGAGAAGGAGAGAGATAAAGTAAGAGGGAGAAAGAAAGAGTTCAGTGGTTTATCGTTTCCATCGATGCTGCTTTAATTAGCTGGAGTACACTGTACTGTCCATGACGTTCTCACTGGAGTCACTTTCCGTGTTTATTATATTTCAGCACTTCTGAATGTGAAGTGGTACGACTTTTAATTTCTGCCCATTTTGTTCCCATTTCAGTCCGGATTTATGAGAGTGTTGGAAAAGGGAGCCGTTCTGGAGTGCCTTTAGTTCCGTCTGTGTTCTGGTTTAACAGGCGCGGCTGAGTGAGTGTGCTGTCACTTTGCTGCCTTGAGGTTCAATTTTTGTATTTAAGGAATATTAAGGCATTTATCAGCAGCTCCAGAACAAGTTAGTCTTCGCTTATTTGTTTTTTTTAGTTTACTTGATGCATCAGATACGTTGTGGTTTCTGTGCCACCTCAGTGCTGGAATTTTTTCAGTGTCTTTATTCTTTATTTATGGTAATACATGTTTACAGGCACTGTTGACTGACAGTAGTATGAAATGGATGAAGATGGACTCGTGATGGAACTGAAAGGGTTTTAAATGGTAGCTGTTTGAGCGGACCGTGCTGTGGTCAGTACTTTAAGTTTGCGTTTCTCTGACCGTTCTCATTTTCATTGAATCCTGCTGTAAAGCCTGTACATTTCCGTTTTGCTAACTTCACTACACATCACTGAGCTGTACTTTACACCCTGTAAAGAGAAAAACGGGCCGATCAGGTAAAATCCTGCTGTACTGATCAGAATTTCTCACAAGCTCTCTGTATATATGTGAAGTTTGTCCAAGGTCAAATTGATGTATGATATAGATAAATAATACTTGTCATATGATTAATGTATTAATTATGGAAATGTTAATTTATTGGACAGTTGAGAATATTAAAACTTGAATTTAACATCTACGTTTGTGTTATTTTTGTATTTTCTGTGCTGTGTTGGTTTATAATATCAGAGTTTGAGGACTGCAGTTACCCAACACATTTACTTCTACACTCTGAAAAAAGATGGTTTTTCAAGGGTTCTTTAGTGAAAAAATTTGTTCTATATAGAACCATGAACACTCAAAGGACCTTTTGCATGAGTACATGGTTCTTTGCATGGTGAGATGGTTGCTCAGATTGGAGAAAGGGTTCTGAGTAGCACCAAAAAAGGTATTTAGTTCTTCTATTGTTACAATGTAACAGTAGAAGAACTCTTTTTGTTGCTACGTAGAACCATCAACAGAACATTCTCTGTCAATCTTCACCATGCAAAGAACCATGTAATCATGCAAAGGGTCCTTTGAGATTGATGGAGAATGTGCTGTAGATGGTTCTACATAGAACCTTTTAGAAAAGGGTTCTGCTATTGTTACGATGTCAAGCTTATAACAACAGTTTGGTGCTATATAAAACCTTTTTCAAAATATAGATGGTTCTCTATAGAACCTTTTTCAAAAAGGTTCTATAGAGACCCATCTACAGCACATTCTCCATCAATCTGAAGAACCATTTCACCATGCAAAGAACCATGTAATCATGCAAAGGGTCCTTTGAGTGTTCTTTAGACAGGAGAATGTGCTGTACATGGTTCGATAGAGAACCTTTTTGAAAAGGGTTCTGCTGTTGTTACGATGTCAAGCTTGTAACAATAGAAGAACCCTTTTTGATGCTATATAGAACCATCTACAGCGCATGGTTTTTCAGATTGATGGAGAATGTGCTGTAGATGATTCTATATAGAGCCTTTTTGAAAAGGGTTCTATTTAGCACCAAAGTTAACCTTATTAGTCCCACAGCAGGGAAATTTCACCTTCATACAAATATGGCCATTTATTTACTATCCTACCTCCTCCTGTCGTCTGAGTTTTATATGATATGTTGATGATGGTAAAATAGTGGTGCATCTGAAAATATTTTCTTTGGAGACTATCTTGTCCAGCGTAAATCTCTCCACCCTGAGTGCATTTTAAAATTCCTAGAAACTTTCTCAAAACTATCAGGCAACAAATCTGTCACCGTTTCACAAAACTTTCTGTGAGGGAGCTTTTAGACACACTGAACTCTTCACGTCTGGTTCCTATCACCACCACTGTGAACAGTTCTGACTCAGTAAGTTCCTCTAGAACAGAGCATTTCACACCAAACCACTCTGAATGACTTTGTTTACCTCTTAACCGTTTAATTACGCAGAAACTTTGAATTCCCCTTCATGAATCAAATAAAGTGCTACACTGAAAGTTAGAGGTGACTGGCCATTTAGCACAGTGAGTCATTTTGGTGCAGGTGTAACAGCTGCACTCAAACAAGTGCGTTTACCTGACTCACGTTATTTACCTCATAAAACTGCAACGCAGATCAGACGAAATTCAAATAATAAACTGGCTGATTTCATGTTTGTAGATGATGATCTTGGCTGATTCTAATCATGCATCCTTAATTGTATGTTAATTAATGTACAGTCCCAGATAGACAGACAGACAGCCAGACAAACAGCCTAGATAGATAGACAGACAGACAGATAGGATAGATAGATAGATTGACAGACAGACAGACAGACAGCCTAGATAGATAGATAGATAGGTAGATAGATAGACAGACAGATAAGATACTTTATAAAAAAGTATTTTCACTGTAAGCTGTAAAATTTCATGGTTAATACCTGTTTTTTGAAAAACATGGTTAAGTGCCTGTAAATAAACCCAACATATACTGTATTTTAGCACTGCTGTTGTTAATTTACAGAAATAGATCACAAAAACAAATGATCACTTATTTTACAGTCGTTTGTGTTTGCTTAAATGGTTGTTATTTTTATTGTTATGGTAAAATACTATATGCCAATAACTAGTTGAACGAGAGAAACTGATGAATTACAGTAAGAGGCAGTAGTTCTAAGTTGAATTGAGTGTAATTTTACAGAATTTTACTATCATTGAGAAAACATCCATTTACCGTTAATTAACGGGTTTGTCTGGCTGCTGCTGAAGTTTTTAACCGTTTTTTTGCAGATTTTTTTTTTTTTTACATTTAGTAAAACTTTCTAGATCCACCACTGCAAATAACATAATGCAGCCACAATATATGAAGTCGGCTATCCATTAGTAAGATGTGTTAAAAGAAGATTTAGAAGAGTCAGTTATGATCATTTGTTATACTGAGTAAATACATTTTTATAGCTGAGTGCTTGACAGTGTTTAAAGGGGCTGTAACTTGATTACAAATATTAAAACTATCTCAGTGATCCCAAGATCTGTGACTTGATGATCCACACCAAAAGTTTTAAAGTTTAAAAAAAACAAAAAAAACAAATCCTGAACAATAATCCTGAAACATCAGCAGTTTATTTCAAGCTTTTATTTTCTGGCAGAGGTCACACTTTGAATTAGGGATGCATCAATACCAATACGACTCCTTCTTACAGCGAGCTGAAGATTTGACGTGGTGCTGTTTGAGATGTTTTTGCTTCAGATCTGAAAAAAATAAGTGGTATCCATCCTTCCACTGTGAGAAGACAGTGCGGGGGGTCTGGATGTGTAGCTGCTGAAAAGCCCTCACTGAGAAAAGTGTAAAATTACAAATAAAAACAGAGAAGCTGCTGGAGTTCTCAAAACAATGGACTGTCCACCACAGAGTCCAGACCTTAGTTTTATTGATTGTGTTTGGGATTACTTGAATCATGAGAAGCAGAAAAGGTAACTTCTAAGACTGAACTTCTGAGGTGTGGAAACATATCCTTCAGATTTCTAAGCACTGAATGAATTGATATATTTAGTAATGTAGAAAAACACAGACCTTAATCTCACTGGTGACGTTTATGCAGAGCAAATGTTTCTGAGAAGGTGAGTCTCCTTTCCTTCACCCCATAGTCTGCAGCTGCTTTCATTACCAGTTACAGTGATGATC